ACACACTTTCAGTATATGTCATACTATACCGCCATACTGTCTCTTTGTCTCTCACATTTCTTCTCTTTATGTCTCATGCAATTTGTCTGTCTTCGTGTGTTTGTCTTAAGGTCCTTCCACATGAGCGTACCTTTTATCGCCAACATGTGATCAACAGGAGGAATCACTAATCTAGCGCACGTGGCCGCACCCTACCAGAGTCGGAACCCTGTGCCTCATTTCGTCTTGTCGATCACATGTTGGAGACAAAATGTACGCACGTGTGGAAGGACTTTTACGCATTCTGTCTGTGTCTTTTGTAGGGCGGCGTAAATGCTCCAGCAGTGCCCCGCCCACACCACGCCCAGCCTACCAGTAACGCGAGTAATAAATGAATAAAAATAACTCCACAAAATAAAGCTAAATTTATATAAAGTTTCATGAAACTAAAAATGAACAAAATACAAAATAAAGTTTGCAATAGTAGGAAGAAATAAAACCAAGTAAAATCATGAGCTTATGAAAAAAAAGCCGGAGAAACAACAACAACAACAACAACACCCATAGAATTAATACATCATATATGCAATAGAAGGAAACAAAATTTAACAATAAAATAAAAGCTTGAATTTAAAACACTATGATGAGGCTTCGAAATGTAGGAATTACTGGCGGATAATTTTAGCGTCTGGGCCGCCCCACCAAGATTACTTCCGCTAAGTGACGTCAACCAGGTTCACTGTACCCTGTGTATGTGTGTGTGTTAACTTTATTACCTTAACAACGTAAACATGGTAAAATTATTAAAAGAAATTAGGTTGATATTTCGTGTATTAAATAATGCTGGTTATTAACAATTGTTGTTGTAATATTTAAATTATAATGTTATATTCTGTAAGCTGATAGGATTTAAAAGTCATAATATCATTCCTTTTAGTTAGATAATAATATATTATAGATGTCAAATTTGTGTTGTAAACAAATGCTCCCGTCTACTCCTGCCCCCTTCCCCATAGATCCGCCAGCGGACAGGGACGAAATAATCTAAAGATCGAGTTAAGCGCAAGAACAGTATTGATTCCCCCGACAGTCAGTCAGATGATGCCGTGAATAAGATTACACACATGGCATAATGAATATTCAAACATTTATAGAGACAACCTGAATATGTTTGTCGTTTTATTACTGTAGATTAGGCACATCAAGCTAAAGACTCAGGAGTATAAACAACGTCCCGTCAGTGGTAAGTCACCGTACAGGCGAATTATACACACGTTGACACCTGCCAAACCAATTGTAATCTTATGTGCTGATTTTACTGAATAGATATCGAAGACTATCTTCATGGTTGTAAGTAGTGTGTGGTGATAAATGGCACGAAATCGTCATGTGTACCCATGACAAGCTGGGTACAACAGGGCAGTGTACTGGGCCCGTTGTTGTTTGTTTGTTTCATAAATGACATGCCAGGAGGCATACACTCCTCATACAAATATTTGCGGAAGATGCTAAGTTATTCAGGAAAATTAACAAGCAAATGCATTGCGAGTTATAGAAAGAGCTCTGTGAGCTTCAAGAGTGGTGGAAGAAATGGCTGTTAAGATTCGATGTCACGAAATGTAAGAGGCTACACCTGGGTCGTATCAACGGTAAGGAGGCGTATCACATGTCCCAACAGTACGAAAAAACTGCATTAATAGAGACCGAATGTGAATAGGACCTGAGTGTGTATGTTGACAACGAACTGAAGTTCTCGGGCTATTGTGAGAAGAAGGTAAATGAAGCAACTAAACAAGTAGGTCTTATAAGAAGGTTGTTCAGATATCTAGACGGTCTGTCCCTCGTAACGCTCTTCAAGAGCGAGGTGCTTCTTCTCCTGGAGTAGTCACCCCGCCTGGTTCCCGAGATATGCTTGGGACTGTCAGTTGATAGAAAGTGTCCAAAGAAGGGGCACCAGACTAGTACTTGCACTACGGCACCTTAGTTACCCAGAGGGATTAAAAAGCCTGCAATTGTCTAGCTTATACTATAGGTGGGCAAGAGGTAACTTATTAATTGAAGTTTATAAACATCTCAGAGGGCACTACTCAGTCGTGTGTTCATACTGGAGCTGGCTGATGCCCACCCTCTACGGGTAACAATTCAGTATCGAAGAAGCAACAAGTTCGGACATGTGTCAGGGAAAACTTTTTAGGAGTGAGAATTGTGAACTCTTGGATCAATATTTACAGTGTTATAACGGCACCGAGTGTGAGCTCATTCAAGACCAGACTTGACCAATACTGGCACAGGTACAGATGCAGTCTGGTTTCTTGAAGCAGTACATGTCCAGTACTTTCCAAGAGTATATAACAGAGACTCAAGTGACCGACCGTCCAAGAGGCTAACGAGTGGATCAGTGATGAAGAGGATAGAAGTAAAAGGTAAAAACTAATTATTTTAAGGTGTGGCGTCACTTAAGTCAGTGTACCCAATTTTATCGTTTTCTTCCACGTCAACGATACTTTAAGAGAACCAAGAAGAAATTGAGGGAGCTCTGAACAAGAATTAGATATTGACTAATTTATATTATACAACGAGATGGCGAAGAATTGTACTTTCAACCTTGTGTCAAACGTTGCAACAAATAGGAGAAACTGAAAAAAAGGTTAAGATTAGTTTTAACGTCCCCGTCAGTTTCTTTAAAAAATATAATATTTTGCTATTTGGACTTTACAGTAGATATAGGTTGCATAACCTTTCAACATTCTTGGATAGTCATTATTTTGTAGGTAATGTTGAAAGTTGAATTATTTACAGTAAATACTCCTCAGAAAAATCTGCCAAGTCTCCGCGTTTCATCTGTTAGTTTACCACCGACCCGCTCAGTCCGAGCGTGCTCTCACGTCCAATAAAAACGTAAAATTACACCATGATGCCTCAACAAAGTTACTTCCATTGGTACCAGGTATCAAAATAAGTACTTTCGGTTTAATTTTACCAAATAATTCTCGGAGAACATGAACCCACAAGTTTATTGTTACCTGCCTACACCAAGACATGTATTTTTGCCATTATAAATCTAGATAATATGATAACTTTCTCTCTCTGTTACTGAAATAAATATAATGTATGTGAAAAATAATAATAAGAGTTAATATTAGTTTAAAATATTGATAATGATTAGTCTTATAGTATGGGGTTTAGTGTAAGGGCAGCAACTCTGGCCAAATTTACATTTATATTATCCTGAGGCGCATCGAATGACCTCCTTTCACTGTGACGTCAGATAGTAGAGTACCAAACCTGCTGCTGAGCTGCATTCTATTATGATCAGGGGGAAGTGACCGAGTGGATAAAAAATTTGCCTCCTGTCTTGCGGGTCGCTGGTTCATACTAAGAGCATCCTTATTCAACCCAACATTACTGTTGGGATAGAAATGGCGGGCAAGTGCAGTGCCGGCCACACCGTCTCCTTGCAGAATCGGGAAAAAATAGTTTGCTGTGTGTTGCATCAACACTGCCTGTAAATACACGGTTATGTTAGCTTCGTTAGCTTTATGGAGGGTTTGGTTGAAATGATACGATACGTTTGAAAATAGGTGAGGGGGGGCGGGGGGGAGTCACTAGGAAGCAATCATGGTGGTTGAGGTGAATCAGTGAATACCTTGTCCGCAAACGCGTAGATTCTGCTGAAGGCCGGCCACTTATAGCATAACCTCCTAATCTCGCTGACCCGGCAGCCAACACGCTCCTCCTCTCACTAGTCCCACTGATCCTAATCCTAGTTCATCCATCATGTCCGAATTTATTGAACTATTGACACTCTTATACTATAACTAATTGCTGGTGCATATCATTAAATTATACGTGCTACTACGACTACCTTTTTAACGTAGCCTCCAGCCTCCCCTAATAGTCACATCTACGCCTCCATTTTATTACTTTAATATTAAATATATTATTACTACTACTACTACTATGCTACAATTACTACTAGACTGATCAAGTAAGAAAACCCATTTCGAGCTTACAGGTTGTCAACAAGCATGTAGAACGTGTTTTTGACAGGAAGAAAATCTTGAGTTACACCAACGACCCTCAGTAACACCGTGAACTTGTCAGCGTGATGAATATGCTCTCATAAACACAATTATCAAGAATCTCTGGATGCAAACACGTTTCATTTTCTTTTTATCTTAACTCGTATGACCATGATGTAATACACAACAAGCCTTAAGCCGCCATTCATAGAAGATGGATTCATATACTGTACAAGTCTTAAGTATGTTGTTTAAAGTTGTTCAGGATTTACAAAACATTTTACTTGTATATTGAGACGAATAATATTAACAGTTTAGTGGCTGACCTACAGTGAATATAAATAGAAAATATTGAAAACCAAAAATTATCCTGTAATGAGTAATATTAATATAATATAATTACGATTTTTATGGTAGCTAGTGGGGCCAAGGGACAGATAGGTTATTGTTAGACGTAAAAGATTTAACACCTTCAGTACAGGGACGCCAGTTTTAGATGTTATTTGGCTAACGTCAGACGATTTTATCCAGCAGAGAAAAGACCTTTATACAAGTGGCGAATTGCAGCGTAAAATTATGACTATTGAACTTTCTTTGCTTTGCTTTCACTATTAAACACACAATCCCGGTAACTCTTAGGTAACGGGTCATCCATATGTTGGTGTCATAGTCACCCGTGTGTTGGTGGTGTCACAGGTGAGAGCTGGACCATCAATATGTGCCACCTGTGGAACACCTGAGGGCCACATGTTAATGCTCATATCCTCCACACCTGTGATCTTTTCACACTCCAATAATCAAGTACAAGTTTGAAATATTTTAAGTACAATGTTTAAGTATTAAGAGAGATGCATCAGCTTCTAGTTATCACTAAAAGTAAGGCCAATATCGTTCTCACAGAGGAGGATGTGTAACAGTAAAGCTTTCTTAATCTATGGCAGTTAAAAGAAATAACAACTTAAAGCTCATGCTGGCAGTTGGTACCAAAGACACAGCGCTCGACACCTGAGCGGGAGTAGGTGTGGCAGTCCGCCCCCAACAGCGGTAACAGCTTCGTCAGCAGCAACAGGGATAAAATCATCATCCTTATCTTTTGGTGGACAAGAAACAGCGGTCGTATTAGTGATAAAAAACAATGATGACGCAGAAGGTTGTGTTGGTGATGGTGTTGTATGGTGTGATGGCAGCCAGCCTCGTACTTGCCCATAAGGTAAATATAACTATCACACCCTCCTGACTCACTATGTTATGTTATGATGTATTACTGCTCTTCAACCACTAGGATATTTCAGCTCTTAGTCACCAATACCGTTTTAGTGATGGGAGGGGGGGGGGGGCTTGCAATATTGAGTGTATTTTTCTTGTTATTGTTCATGAGACAAACCGGTCATAGATGTAACCCACCCGTCGGTGTTCGTGCAGTGTTGACAAGAGTCGGGGGAATTTTTGACAGCGACTGTGCATACTAATTCATGTTGATAAATGTAAATAATGATCTAAAGAAAAAATGCCATAATGTAAATAATGTAGAGAAAGATATATCAGAATATTAAGTAGATTTTTTTTACTCATGTTACTGAAGAAGACAAAAAAGTAGCTCATAGCCAAGCCTGTCCTAAGTAGACAAACAGAACCTAACGTAACATTAATTTTGTTATACATGGGAATTCGGAAAATTAATGATCGGTTGTATCTGTCTATCTGGCGACATATTTATGCTTAGATTAAGAACCACTACGAATATTAATGTACAGAGTTACTTTGGCTAATGTTGCACGTATCGAGTTTCTACAAATGAAAATCAATTCGCCTTTGAAAGTTTCATCAATATGTAACCAGAGTAATTATACTCGGTAAAAACTAATAATGTGACAGAGGAAACAATAGTGAGACATTGATGCAGTTCACGTTGTGGCCTGGTTGTAATAGGTGTAGAAACTTGGCCTGGGGACATATTGGCCACTGTCATTGTTTTGATGGCGAGAAAATGTCCAGTACCAATATAACTACTGTACATGCATTTGACGGGCCTTCCTCGGTGACACAGGCTTTCTCACATCACTCTACGTCTTGAACAGTAGAGTAAACAAAGTTACCAGAGAATATAACATACACTGAGAGAGATACAGCAACGCTAGTATGGGGAACTGATCGGTGGTATATACGGATTGAATCACACCGAAGAAAATCCTGCAAATTTTCACAGAGAGTATAATACCCATCACCAAAATAATAAAATGGTTATTATTTTGGTTTCAGTCATCTGGGGAATCTTATGAATTAGGTTAGTTCGGTTAGGTTAGGTTAGGTTAGGTTAGGATATCTAAATTGTTTTTCCGATGTTTTTGAGGCGTTTTGAACGATTTTAACCTTTATATCTGTTATAAATCACATAGTTTGGATATCTAAATACAGGGATGACTGAAACTAAAATTTTATCATAGAGCGATCAATATTCCATCATCTAAAACGATTTATGTACGATTACTTGCTACGAGGGTTTTGGTTAATTATGAGAGAAAATAAGTTAGGTTAGGTTGGGTTAGTGATAGGACATTGAGGTTATTAATTCGGATAACTTTTAATAAATGTTGATATCATTGTTGTGTAATTATATTCATACCTGGGAAGACAGTAGTTCAATATTTATGATATAGATTAATTACACTCACGTACAGTATATATTTCGGCTTCCTTAATTACATTATTAACTAAAAAAACTAAAAAAAAAAATGTAGGACTTACTTACACAGCTGTTCAGACCTCCATTAATGAGAGCCACTGAATCTTAACTTTTTGAGAACATTTGTGTATTAAAGGTGGAGGAAAGGAACCCATTGGAAGAAGAGATGGAGGAGGATGACGAGAGCGAGGAGATGGATTGGACACTGGAGGATGAGGTCTTCGGTCCAAGTGAGAATAGGCATCAAGGTATACACATTCTGGACGAGGACCACCAGATCATCATGAGTGAACCTTCTGATCGAGTCTTGAGGCTGATAGCTCCACGTGACGGCCAACCAAACGATATCACCATTAAACAGGTCTGTGCTTGGGGGCGAAAAATATTTGACTCATAGTAAAATTTTTCCACTAATATCATGTATCATACACCATACATAACATACGTCATACACAACACAAACAGTGGAGGTACATACATTGTTTATTTATACTGAGATTGATGAGTGTCATATGTTAGTTATTTCTCGCCTACTGTTTATTAGTGCACACAAGCATCCTGTTCCTCACATGTTATGATGGTGGACAGGTGAAGGCCCTGTACCGGAAGCTGAACGAGCGCAACGCAGACCACAGCCAAGCCCGTTACTCCAAAGACAACTTCCTGGAGATGCTGGCCATGGAACAGCAGGCAAACAAGGAAAAGGTGAGGGTTAAAGGCCGAAGGGTTAAATGGATTCCAGTTATGATAGTAATCCAGCTTAACCATTAGGTTTGCATACCCTTTACTGGGGCACTACATTTAATAGGCACCAACCCCATTAGGCATCAGATTTGATGGGAATTATTTCTAGTGGGCATCAGACTTAATGGGTAGTAATACTAATGTTTCTTGAGGAGTTTTGGGAGTGAGAGGAAGACAAGAGTGAACAGAGGTGGTGGAGTATGGAATTATACTGAGATGCGCTCCGTTTAAGTGGAAGATGGAATACCTGTTTAAGTGGAAGAAGAAACAGTTGATTAAGTGGGGGGTTGGAATACTTGTCTGGGTGAGAGATAAAACGTTTCTATAGGAGGAAATTTAAATGCCTGCCAAAGGGAAGAATGAAAGATTTAATTAAGTGGGAGATGAGGATTTTAAGTGGTTCAGAGACAGTTTATTGAAGAGGTATATGTGTGTGTGTGTGTGTGTGTGTGTGTGTGTGTGGGTGGGTGGGTGTGTGTGTGTAGTTTTTAGTTGAGTGTGGTGTGTGTGTATATAATGTACAGTTTATTGTGGCATATGTTTGTGTATGTGATATGTATATTACTTGTTGTATGATGTACTCTGCTTTACATAAGTCCTGTCAGACGTGCTATGTACACTACAACTATAGAGAGAAATGGATACACGTTAATATGATGTTTGCTGATGTCCATGAGAAACTTTGCTCCATGTGAGTTAATCTAGATAAGTTGGAAGATGATACGGGGTATGGGGAGGGAGGCGGGAGACTGTATTAGAGAAATATGTAACAATATATTATGTAGTTACGGGTGTCTGAAATTTTAATACCGATTGTTCAGTGGCACAAATAGTTACATTTTTTAAAATTAGGACGATTATATCCAGGTACGTACACAAAATCTCATATATATCGTAATTGCACACACTAAAAAAATATATAATACTTTTCGAATGTAAGAAAGTAACAGATATTTATACTTTCCCCCAACAGGACGCCAAACAACAGGACTCTCTCTTGAAGCGCCTCATTAATTTGGTTTGGTAAACACATCATGGGAGATAATATTGGAGAGTCAAAAGGATATTAAACACTTAAATAAAGCTTGACAATATCTGAAGCACCTGCACACAAGGTAGAGAGACTAGCCCGACTTGCATTTAAAGCTATGTGACAGTTAATGTTTGCTATCACAAAGAAGTTATCCAGTTTTCATTATTTTGGGACAAATTATATTTCTGGGTGTAGTTAATGGAAATAGATGACGCTATAGTTGTTGTATTCATGTTTGATCTTTGCGATATACTGTACGTAACTATTTCTGGGAATAAATTATATGACTGACTGTGTAAATAAACACTTTAAATGCTATACTGTGCGAAGTCTGTTATTACCTACGAAGACATCATTTGTTTTCGTCTTGTGGTTTATGAATGATCAAAATTTTTAATTTACAAAGGACTGTAAAATCCACCATAGGCCTATACTCGTATATATTTATTTTTATTTTCTATAAATATTGAGATATTATTGGAATAAAACTTGTCTTCAAGATATTTTCAAAAATGCTATAAAATGTACTTTAGACTCACAATGAACAAGTTTACCAGTGTGTGTGTGTGTGTGTGTGTGTGTGTGTGTGTGTGTACGCGCAGAAATAAACAATAAAATTAATATCCCACACGTAATTTAGCTTTCAGAGCAGATAAAGTTAAATGTTTTCTTTTACACACAAAAAAAGAAAATGGGTAACAATATTAAAGTAAGTGTTCCGTGTGGAATAATGAGAACATTGTCGTCTAAAGTGATTCTAAGACTCACATCTGAGTCACTTCCTATATTTTCCGGAATGTCTCCTGTGGTCGAGTGATGGACACTTTAACAATGACCCCCATAACGTCTACACCTTGGCCTACTGTTAACACTAACACAATAAGTATATTAGTAAATTAAGTGTTTCAGGGGCACTAATCCGGGAACTATTACAATTGCTACTAGAACACTTTCGGCCGGGTCTCAGAAAGTAAGTACTGGACAAAAGGGCTCCAAATGCTGTAATTTTTAAACAACAAATTTCTTATATCATGCAGTCAAGAAACCTTTGAATTTTAAGTTTTAAATATCCATGAATATAAGCCTTCCAATTTATTTGTTTAATATGTATAATTTTAAGGAGGCGATCAGAGTCTCTACGCTTCCCGCCCAAATATTTAAATTATCTCTATTGTAGTTTCTGTAGATGCCAACAGATGACTCTGTAGGCGTGTAAACATTAGGTAAGAATATATTCGTAGACTTGAGTTCCGTTGGGTGATTGCCTTTTAACTATTGGGGGGCAGTCGGTACTCAACCGCGACTGCAAGCAGTCTTCAAGAACGTCTTCATTATTCAGTAAGATAAAATTAGATGTGTAAATGTAGTTTATTGATATCAGAATATAGAATAGCTTAAAGTGATAATATACGTTGTATAATCAGTGTGTTGCTTGTGAGATGAGTTTTCAAAATGTATTTGTACCGAACATAACAGAAATCAATGCGTCAGTTACGCTAGGCCACCCATAAAGCGTTGTTCTTGCTTGTGACATGAAAAATGCAGTTACATAATCAACTTTAGAATATGGTACTATGAATAATGCCCCAATATGCCTGTTTTTACTTGTAATTTATTTGGGTACTATTAATTTCAGATTGCAAACTTGGAAATCAATAATTTTCTGGATAAGTTGAACTTAAGTTGGAGTCTTGAAAAATAATCCGTCTTTATTTTAGTTACTCCCATCAGGATAAGTTTTCTTTTATAAAATAAGGGGGAGACTACAAGAACTTCAGAGTGCCAAGGACGACGTTTCTGGGAATAAGTGGTTGTTTGGTGCCGTATATGAAGATTTAGATTCATACCTCAGTAATTATAACCTTATCATTATAGTTGATTGCTAGTGGATTCGTTAATTTTAATGTACGGTTAACCTTTAGCCACGATGGTGGTAATTTTGACGAGTAATTATTGAAACAGTTGAAGCAGGGATTTGAAGTAACAAGATGCTTTTATATAAAACTTAGCGACATAAATATTTTGCAACATAAATTGGAAATTAAAATTATAATTCACTTTATTTTCCAGGAATTTTTCAGTCATGCATAAACTACTATTTTTATGAAACCTGGACAGCTGTGCCTTTTAATGAGATTTCCCGCCAAGGTAAATTTAAGTACATAACCTACAGTGATGACCTCAGGTACTGACACGTTGTTACTGATCTTAAGATTTTTAAATGCACCATCATCTAAAAAACGTTCATCAGTAATAATAATAATAATAATAATAATAATAATAATAATAATAATAATAATAATAATTGTTACCGCAAGCAGTAATGAGTAGGATGACACAAACAAACATTATGTTAGGCTGTAAGTCATGTCATGTTTATTGGGTGTGCCTGCCAGTATACAGTATATAGAGTATCGAGATGGTGGACATGGAGAGACCCAGAGGAGGCTGGGGTGTTCGGTGGTAGTAAGGGGAGCATGTTTGCGTAACTATCCCTATCACAGAGTCAACACTTAACCTGATTCTCTTGAGACTTTCATCACGTAAGTTTAACCTGTACTTAAGTTTACACAGGTGGACTGTGTCCACTGCATCGGTTATCATTGTGACAACATAGAGATATGGCAAATTAAGTACTCGTTATAAGTGTTAAGGTTAGACTAATTACATAACTATGATTGTTATGTGAATATATATTGGATTAAACATTTATGTATGATTGCCTATGTATGATTTATTTGAAATAATAAAATGAATTGTATTCAACAGGTTTGACCGAATTATAACGTTAGAGTTCAACGTGAAGAATCTGATTAACCTATAAACACTCAGAAGGCGTTTATAATAATAATAATAACAATAATAATAATAATAATAATAATAATAATAATAATAATAATAATAATAATAATAATAATAATAATAAAATATTGATTGATTGATCATAAGTCTAAAAAATATGGTAAGATAGGCCTAAGCTATGCTATCTCTTCACCTTTGGCTTGACAGATTACACATTGTCGTCTCGTAAACTAACCAACCAACAAAAAATTTGTATCCTCGTCTCCACATCCCGATTAATATTCCCTCCTGATAGAAGAGACGTCACAGTATATTTTTACCTTGTACTTGTTCCGACTTTATTCATTCCATCCACCGCGAACGACTGCTGGAGAGAAAAGTTTTTTAGCCCACCGTGAAAAAAAAAAATCTATTGATGATCCGTTTTGGTCTGGGGGAATTCAGAGGCTAAGTATTACATAATATATTTTATCTTGTAAATCCTTTGAGTATGATTAATTCCAGAAAAGGTTTAGGTGGAGGGTAACTCATAACACCTCTTGTATCTTGAGTCTATAATGAAGATATTTTTTAATGTTAAGAGACAAAAAATCCAAACAAATCGGTCGCCTCTGATGTGGTTTTATTAGTATTTTTATTAATTTAATAAGATCATGCATATAAATTTTGTTGATAATTCCTTAGAACATCTGTAACGGTTTTAGGAAATATGATATTCTTAACATTTCGCTATTAACTATGAACTATATAAAGCCATATTATATTCGACCATTCGTCTTTCTTCATTAATACTGGTTCTTGCGTTTAGATCACATTTTCTTATAAATATGTTGTGTGTTTTCTAGTTCAACATTGACATTTTCATCTGTGGTATAGACGTGTATCTTCTCGCGGTATCTGTTGGGTATTAACAAGATAACCGAGATGCTGGCAGTTGCTGTTGAGAGTTTGTCCACGTAGGGTCGCGCCTCCACTCTTATCTGAACCCTACCAAGGTAAACTTAGAAGCGGACTTAATTATCTGCAATTGTGTTCGGGATGATTATGAAGTACATTGATTCTTTGTTACTAATGTGTACATGCTTATTCTGATAGGAGTTACGTATGTTATGGAAGATTATGAAACTGGCTCATTCTATTTGGGCTGTACTGTACGTGGGGTTGAGAACATCTATGATATGTTTTAATGAATACGTTACCCAGGTGAATTTTATATATGATTCTGTATTTGCACTAATATTTTATGAGGTGTTGGTGGATGGTTGTATGTGATGGTGGTGGTGGCGTTAGTGGATGGGTGTATGCGGTGGTTGTTGCCGGGTGAGTGTGCATGAAATAAGTTCGTGCCACAGAATAAACAACAACTGTGAGAATGTGAAAGGCCGCTCGTGTGAGGTGTGTTAGATGTTTTGGTGACCTCGGCTATATCAGGCCACGTATCTGGCCAACACCATCATCACTTTAGCTAGAAAACACATTAAATCGCTAAGAATCATTTGTGGGATATGAACTAAATGATAAAAAAAAATGAACTAAAGAGATGGACATATTAGTCGTTTCAGCACAGTGGCTGATGACCATGAACGTCTTGGATTATTATTGGTTTCACTTTAAAGATTCATTTTGCACGTTAAAGATACGATCACTGTCTACATCATACATAAGTTACTTCCCCCAAACAATGTAAATCGTCCAGTATTATTTTCTCTTGCTATAAAACTATTACCCATTGCTCATAAATTAATTCTGTACCTAATGACCAGAGTTATTAGCACTTAACATTATTTCCACTCTCTGTTAACATCAACCTTCTACTGATAAATATTTTTCATGAGATTAAGTTGAAGCTTCAGTACAAATGAGAAATATTTTATCAGATGGTCAAGGAATCAAAGGCTGTGATATACAGTAAGTCGTAGGAAAAACAAAATATACAAAGTGTAGTGAAAAAAGCTTATCTCCCTGATTATTATTGTGGGTTTATCATATCTTACTATTCACCCATTAAGTGAATTTACTACTTCTACTTGCAGATGGTGATGTTGGAGAACTACTCTATTAATTAATATATACAGAATTTCTTACAGGTGGTGCTACTGGGAGAGTTTGGTGGTGATGGGGGTGACGGAGGTGTTGGAGGTGATCTGGCCGGGGGACTGGATGGGGCGAGGCCGAACTCTCCTCACTACACTGGGAGTCATTGTCCTAACCACCAAGATCGTCAAGGAGAGGAAGAGGCGGCGGCTCAGGTATACCTTGAACCCCCCAAAACAATATCTTTAATGTGTTAATTAACCTTTTTTTTAGCAGGGCGATGATTTTGTTTTGAGATTCACTTAAGTTATATACTAACCTAGGCAACACAGGGAGACAGGTGTAGTGGTACTTTAACTTAACTGGGTCTATGGTGATAAGGGATATGGCTCCATGTCTAATAATAGTACTTGCAGGGATAGTTTATTAGAGACATGATAGTTCAGGGTGTGATTCTTTGAATAGTAAGACACGGACATCTGATATATATATATCCCAAAATTTGAACATTTAAGGTCAATGAATTATGTCTTTGGGTTCCTATACTCTCGTGTTTTGTTAATATGGAGACTATAGGCACTATGCTCTCGGCTGCTCACCAATTACAACATAGACGAAGAAACCCTCACCAGAGAATAATAAATGTGATGATTTTACACCGGCATATCACACTTACATTGTATATACAAAAACCCACCACCACACACTAGACTTCACAAAACAAATTTAAAAAGTTCACCGAAGAATCAAGATTTATAATTAATGACGCCATAGAAGTGTGATATTCAATGTTTTTTTCCTTGCATAAGGCGGGAGTGGGACAGTGCAGGGAAGGACGTGGTATTACTCCATCAATTCAAGTCAGGCAAGTATTGCCCCAACCTCAGCCCCTTCGCGCTCAAGCTTGAGACTTTCTTCAGGTTGGCCAACATTAAATATGTGGTGAGTAATGCTGCACAGACAGACAGACAACTTATTTATAGATACTGTGTGTGTGTGTGTGTGTGTGTGTGTGTGTGTGTGTGTGTGTGTGTAACATCTTTATCTTTAGAAATAAGAATTCAATAACTCATTTATTTCAAATTCAAACCCAAGACAAGTGCACCCTGACAGCGTGGTGAGCCTTGGACACTAATGCCTTACTTGCTGGAGGTGTTCTCCTGCTCCATTGTGTGAGTGCTCTTATTCTCTCCCGCCCACATTCCTCCATTAATCTGACGACGTTTCTGTGTCATCAGAATTTTCCTCTTCATTATCCATCCTCAGGTGGACACCAAGAGCCCCTATGGGTCAAAGGGGAAGTGCCCGTGGATCACCGTGAATGGGACGGACGTGGCCGACTCTGAGTTCATTGTGGAGTATATTACCGAGCACTTCAACGTGAACATTGACGCCCATCTTGACCCACGGAAGGTGGCCATCCTGGAGGCTGTCAGAGTCCTGGCTGATGAACACCTTTTTTGGTGAGTTTAGTGGTAATGGTGAGGCAGCATTGGCAAGGGACGGTGATAGAAGGTAGCAGAGGGTTGTATTAGTGAGAGGGGTGGTGGTGGAGATAATGATAGGTTGCACACCGGAAATAGGGGATGCGGGATGGTTGGGGCAGCGGTTGTAGTGGCTGTGTACTGTAGGGTAGGGGTAGAGGATAGTCGAAAGGAGGAGGAGAGGGTGAGTATCAGAAGGAACACCAAAATAATACACATGTAACTGCACACAACCTTGCTGAGGGTGTATAAAACTACAGGGGAAATCTATACATACAGAAGAATGTGTGGAGATACACGGGGAGGACAGGAACTTGGAACAAGCAGTAAAGGGAATGTCAGCAGACTTCTGACATGTAACGTAGGCCAAGAGAGGTGCTTTGTTGTTCACCTTTTTTGCAGATGTGTCAGTGTTCACCGTGTTCCAGGTGTGTAGTGGTGTGGCGCTATTGGCTCGATGGATGCGTCACCTTCCTCAAGTCACAGTCGTTTAGTCCCTTCCTGAGGTTTATTTTCCCGATATTCCTGAAGCCCGGGATGAGGGACCGCTCTCGGCATCACGGCATTGGCCTCCACTCCCCAGAGGAAATCTACCACATCTGTAAAAAGGACTGCAGGACTCTGGCCGGAGTTCTAGGTACGTCCTCACTTCTGCAACACTTTGACTTCTGCCACACCATGGCCGACCACAGTCTGTATTGAAGATGACATTCTTCTTGTTTCAGAATGTTGGTATAGATTGTATTAAGAAACAGTACTGCAGTTCATTGTTCGGGCAATCTTTCACTGTGTGTACTATACTGCTCTGCTGGATCAAAATTAGTTGCTGATCTAAACATAAAGTTGTATGTACAGTCCTTCCCCCCCCCCCTAAAAAAATATTGATATTTTTTTTGTCTTTAAAATCTAAAACGCAGGACGAAATGTTTTGATATCTTTGCCAGTACATCGTCATATGTTGGTATGACTACTGCCCATATCGGAAACAGTATCCAAATATACAAAACATATATTTGCTGAAATATTTACAGTCGATAATGATGTATACCAATACCGGTGGTCGACTGTGCAAACCGTTCCGAAATTAGTGGACCAACACTGCTTACAAAACTATGAAACACATCGACTCCCACGGGTAACGATACTTTTTTCGGGACTATACAACAAATTGAGGTTTATGACCACCTGTGAGGGCATACGATGATTCGCACTGAACATTGGGATTTTCCTTATATTATTTAGCAGAATGTAAATGGTCCTACGAATGACCTTCCTACCTTCCTTCCTACCTTCCTTCCTTCCTTCCTTCCTTGAGAATTAGCTTTCTTTCTCAGATCGCTTCCGTAGTTCTGCTAGATGTATCTTTAACTCGTCACTTCATCCAACAGTGACTAATTTTGTTCACTATTTCAATTTTATTTTCTAATAAAGATTATTATCAAAGTGTCCCTAGAATTAGATATACCGAATTAGGTCATTTTGTAAGCATTTTCAGCAGGTTCTGGGTCGAAATTACAATCTATTCATGTTAAATTGAGGAAATATTCACTTCCAGTTTTCACGTAATAACTAAGAGGTGCGTTTATGGGTGGTCTCGAATGTCGTGCCTTAAGTTTTTAATTCTAGTCTTCGATATATGTAAAGGGATATTGACTAAATACATCAGAATTAATAGATTTTTTTATGATTTTTTGTTGTATCATCACCATTTAATTGCCTTCATATCATTAAGACTTAAAGACTTTTTTTCGATTATCTAGATTAGAAAGTCCCACAATTTCGTAAAAAAAAAAAAAATCTTAAGTTTATATAATATACGTTTATCTTAATATCAGGTGATGATAAGTTCTTCGGGGGTGATGAGCCTTGCACAGCTGACTGTACTGCGTTCGGTCAGCTCGCCCAGCTCATGTGGAACGCTCCGGGCTCACGCTACCAGGCTTTGGTTACTGGTGAGTGCAGCTAAATAAAATCTGTTTGTTGATGCACATTAATTCTCAATTGGTTTTAATGGAAGGTTTTTAATGTGTTAAAGGGTGTTCCTTGTGTGTTTTGGCCAGAGGTGTACCCGAGTCTCGCCCGCTACTGTCTCAACATGAAGGAACGACTCTACCCGGACTGGAACAAACTGCTCAAACCTCCTCAGCAAGACCTGCCATCGCCTCCTCAGTAGCGGGTCATCCCCTCAGTAACACCTTGTTGCCCCTCAATAACATCTGGCACTCCCCTCAGTAACACCTGTCACTCTCCCCAGTACCACCTGTCACTCCCCTCAGTAACACCTGTTATCCCTTTCAGTAACACCTGTTATCTCCCTCAACAACACTTGCCACCTCTGTCAGTAGCATCTGCCGTCCCGCTCAGTAACACCTGTCATCCCCCCAATGACACCTGCCACTCCCCTAGTAACATCTGTCACCCCCTTCAGTAACACCTGTCATTTGTTATTGCTCGGTAACATGTGCCATCAATGCTATTCAATTACAGTTATTCCACCCCTATTTTGTTCAGTAACTTCTGCTCTCCTCCTTCCCATTCAGTGATACTTACCACCCCACCCCCACCCTCCCCCCAGTGATCCATGAGTGAGGGATGTACTGTCTACCTCAGCCACGTTTGCCATTCCTACATAATAAAAATCCGAAACTTCTCGAGAATCATCAGCAAATAGCACAGCAGAACTAAGAATGTAAATGATCCTAATGTAATATCACTTTCTTGTATATACTGTATGTGTATTGCCTCCTGTAAGTTTTCGTAAGATAGTTTGAGAGATGTGTTGTATGTATAGATTTACAAAGGTATCTTACTTAGAAATAAAAAGAGTCCTCCCACATGTTTGGTTCTGTACTATCATAAGTCACCTGAGTCCTGGGCAAGCACTGGTTTCGTACGACTACTACTACTATTTTTTTTTTATTTTTTTAACGTGGCCTCCAGCCTCCCCCAATAGCCACACCTTCGCCACCATTTAATTACCTTAATATTAAATATCCTAATACATAAATAGCCATCCTATCTGTGTTAAATTAGTTGAGCCGCAGATCTATGCGGGATTCAGCGACAGTAGCCTCATAGTCAATATCTGCAGCAGTTGTCGGAGTTGGGGCAGAAGCTCTCGTTCCCCTGAGGCAGAGCAAAGCCAACCGAAGGAGAGAGAAAGACAGTCGACATCTCATCCAGGCTGTAACATAACTTCTGGGCCGCTGCTTCTGTTCAGAGATCACCTCCGCGAGTCTGGCGTAGAAACATCTTGCACCTGGTCCCATCCCACCAGAGGTTGTGAGCACTAGAGTAGTGAAGCTGCCTTGATCAACGTTTTGAATTCTCTCCCCATATGCCCTTCTCTTGTCGTTCTCGTTCCTCCTATGTGCAGCATCGAGAGCTAGGTTACGGTGACAAGCGGCCATGGGATCAAAAATCCTGATGTCGAAGAAAGCTCGCTGTCCCAGCGTCCAGAATCCTTGAGCATTGACGTCCACACGGGCTTCGTTAGATGTGCTTGAAGTCCTGTGTTGGAAGATCTCACCATCCAATGGAAGGAGGGTCGGTTCTACCATGACATCCTGGCAGATTTCCTTCAACATATTTGTTGTGAGGTCCCTTACCTCGTCATGCCTCATGCATATGAAGCCCCCTTTCTTGCACACCATGGCGTGATCGCCATCATAGGAAGAGCCACACACGCATTGGGAGGGCAAACCTTCTACTGGCCGACAGTATCCTTAGAGTAATGGCATCTGTAAATTCTTGTTTATTAAGACTGAAACCATTTGCCCTTATCGGTAACGTAGTTAAACAGTTCGAGGCGCCCACCTCCAGCGCTATGGCTACTTTTTTTTTCAAATTTTCTGGTACCTGCAGCAACAGTTGCTGCAACTTATCATTTTGGCAGTGCTGTCGATCTGTCGTAATGGACCTACGAATCTTATTTACCTCACTGGTATCCACTTCCCCTGTTGCATTCTGGGCTATTATGTGGGCCGTGAGGGCTGCCGTGAGCTTAAGTGAATTTTGATGTTCAGTGGCAGCAATCTCCTCTGGATTTGTTAGTCCCATCCCTCCCAGTCTTGATGGAAGTTCAAGAAGTGCTTTTTCTGCTGGGGTTAAGTCAGGGTGTTTCACTAATTTAGGAATGAAATTGACACTGATAACTTCTTCCAGAGGGTGGATACTACTACTACTACTACTACTACTACTACTACTACTACTACTACTACTACTACTACTAATAATAATAATAATAATAATAATAATAATAAATAAAAGAATTTAATTGGTTTGGGTTTATAGCTAATATATTTTCTCATATGGACTTATTTTCTTTTCTAAGAGTCTCTAGATTTTCGGAGAACATGTATAGTATAGAGTTTTAATGAACCCGGTCCTGTGGCACAGTGGGCATCCAGGGTGGCAAGGAGTGGTGGTCTGGAAGAGGCTGGGTGATTTAGGAGGAGGGGATTACAGATCTAAGTCAGGTTGGGAGATTACTGATCTGTAATAAAATTACTTTCATGCACTTATTATTGAAAGTGCTTTAGGCAGGCTTTAATAGGTCAATTGTTATCTAATTGTGAAGGAGAAAACCCAGTGATAAATATACTTACTTTACTTTTACCCTCTTCACCATTGATCGGCTCGTTTGTCGCTTGGGTGATAGGTCACGTCTCTGTGACGGACTGTTGGCAAATACTGGGCATGTACTGGCTTCTGAGTGTATCTGAACCTGCTCTAGTGCTTGCCAAGTCTAATCTTGAAAGAGCTCACACTCTGTGCCGTCGCTACATTCTCTGGCAGATTGTTCCAAGAGATCACAACTCTCATTCCGAATAAGTTACACCTCACAGTTTTCTGGGCTTGCGGTTTCTTCAACCTGTGACCCCTTTGGAGCGAGCGTCCGCCAGCTCCATGTAAGGGCACTCGACTAAGTAGTAGTTCCCTTTGAGATGTTTATACACCTCAATTAGGTCTCCCCTTGCCCGTCTGCAGTATAAGCTAGGCAAGTTCAGGGGCTCCAATCTCTCAGGGTAGTTGAGGTGCCGAAGTGCAGGCACCAGTCTGGTGGCCCTCCTTTGGACATTTTCAATCAACTGACAGTCCTTAGCATATCTTGGGAGCCAAGTACTCAAGACGGGGAAGCACTTCACTCTTGAAGATCGTTACGAGGAACGGACCCCGTCTAGACAGCTGAACGACCTTCTTCTAAAACCCAACAATTTAGTTGCCTGATTTACCTTCTTCTCACAATGGCCCGAGAACTTAAACAAACCAATATATTTACAGAGAAAACTCACGCATGAACATTACAAGACAAAACAGAATGGTACCTTAATTTCAATTCCTATTAAACATCCTAAATATTATACCTACAGTCATAACAAGAATAACTTATCTGTTGAGTTGAATCCAGGTCAGCCACACAAGTAAAGAAAATAAATACCCAGGCAACACCAAGAAAATTGGAGAAGCAGCTCCGACACACAGCAGTCGGTGTCAGAGTAAAACTGACTCAGCCGGCTTTTTCCAACCCGACAGGTGAAAGGCAGGAATTTAAGGTGCTCTGGTGTTCATTACCGGGACCACAGTAACTAGTTTAATGGCTGTTATGCATAAACTAGATGATTAGAGTAAATCAACTAAATAAATGTACTTTACATGTCATATTACTACAAAATAGTCAAAATAATATAATTAAAATATAATATATACAATACACCTGCATCTATATGAGCTCCACTGAAATCACCAATAACTGATTCACTGGAACTCTCCGTAACCCCGAGTCATCTTGACTAAGGATTCATGATAGAGGGATGTAACAAGCCGTTGAGTGAAGCAATAAATGACACCCCCGCCGCCACAGTTACTATTACATCTAAGTGCTTGTCTTTTTTTGTTCTCAACCACGCCACACCACCACTCTGCCTCGCCGTTTTATTGGAGTCATGAGTTTTGAGGTGAAAGAAGATTATTAGGGATTGAAGAAAAGTGGTGAAACTGAAATACAGTAGGAGTAGAAAGAATCTGGGCTCAACCAGGTCTCGTCATCTGATCTATTAGTTTTTTATCTTCTTTTTTTTTTTGCTCCCTCGGGCCGTCAGAAATTTGTATTAATATTTGTTTATTATATGGTGCTGCTAATTATACTTCTTACTTTACTTTGTGTGTGTGGAGTTAGTGAGCCCTCCCAGGTCCTTGTGTGGCTGGTAGGGTAGCATTTCTTCTTTTTTTTTTTGCTTATAAAATATGCTCTTCAACGGATGGTGGTGCGGAGATGGTGTAGAATTGTAGATGATAGTGTAAATGATTGTGTACAGTACAGTACTTTATTTACTTACTTATTAGTGTAATAATGTTTATAAGTGATTTTATTAAGTAGGCGATGAAGTTCTTACCAATTCTAAACTGACTGAGCCTTCTCCAAAGAAAATGAAATTATATTAATGGGTTGACATGCTAATATTAGATGTCTGCCATTACGATATATGCTTTGGTAAATTTGCATTAGTTCACACAACTCTGTTTGAAAGTAAAAACTATGTTTTTCTGGTGTATTTTTGTGTGTTTTGATTGGTTTTGATCTTGATTTCCGTCGGAAATTGCCTGTGTTTTAGTTAACGGTGGTTTTGGATGGGCCGTTTTCCGACAAAAATCATGGCCAAGCAAATACAAAAAAAAAAAAAAAAACACTAGAAAACATATAAACCTTACCTAACCTTACCTAACTATCACCATATGATGGAATCACTTATATCTTACCTTATTGGCCTGGTTCATGCCAACTATGTTGGTCTTGATATTTACACTCATTCTTAAACTAAAGAAACTTTACTGAGGTCGGGAGAACATCACGAGATCTATTAAATGCTATAGCTTGCTCGTTTTTTTCCCCCAAACTCGCAATCAGCTCCATATAATTGAAGTGACACCCATGGCAGACTTCCATGGTCAGAAATTAATTTGAATTTCGAAAAATAAGAGACCCAAAATCACAATCGAATCTGATTAGGCAAAAAATACCGCGAATTAAACCACAATATATTTTAATTGGTGGCCCCCCCAAAAAAAAAACACTTTTGATTGGCCGCTTGACGTGTACGGGAACGCATGCGCATGATGATTTATGAAGGAAACACGCAGTGTGGGAGGTCGGGTAGGCGATAATGGCGGAAGAATAATGGAAGAAAATAGAGAAAGATTTGGCATGTGCTATCTCCGTTATTATACGTTTGCGACGGTAATGTAATAGAAGAAAATTATCTTAAAATTAGACGTCTTTTTCGAATATGATAATAAATTTGGGGTAGGAAAGTTGTGTGAACTAATGCAAAAATACCTTTGTTTTTAGGGGCTTAGAATATGAATGTTATTGATTTTAAGGTCACAGTAATTTCAGGAATGATGTTTTCTGTTTTTTTTTCTTTTGTGCAATCTGTTCATGCTATTTGAGAGAGTGTGAGACGGAAAAAAACTGGAGGAGCTGATACTTGTCACCATCTTATTAATAAAAATCACAATGGATATATGTACAACAGCCATATTGACGTACTTTGTTGTTGGTAAATTTATAGTAGAGGATTAATTAAAATATCAGGAATTTTATCTTTGCAATCAAGAGTTTAGATTTCAGACAATTCTAAGACATTTTTCTTCTATAATCTTTCCTTTGCCAACGACCTATAGTAAGTCCTCTTCTATAAATTGACTTTGTTGTTAATAGTCAGGTTAGGCCATCTTAGTAACTTTCATTATATAATCTGCTTCCGTACTCATAGACATCAATGTTTCGTTAATGGCTGCCGCACCTATATCCTGTGCCAATAAAAAAATCTACAAGAACAACAACGACAATTTCTTACTAAAAGGTCAAGAGTTGCTCCTCCATGTACAGAAAACTGTCCAAATTTTTCAAAGTAAAGTGACACAAAACACTTTTCTTCTCCATTTTTTGAATGTTTTTAAAGGAGTGAAAACTTTTATCATCAATGAAGAAATTTTGTCAGCTCCTAAAGCCAAATCGCACATATCAAGTATTACTAGGCAAACATATTATGACAAACTCTTATCATATTCTTTTGATGTTATAATGTTATTGATGCCCTTCAACAACTAAGTTCTTTAAGCACCTAACAAGGTTTGTAAACACTCATCTCCATCAAAAACTAAAAATTATGAGATGGGACACTGAGTTGGAAGGACCAAATAATGCTCTAGGTCTAGATGGTGTATTAAAGTAGACATTGAATAAATTTCTCACAAAACATTTGTGTAAGAATGTAACTTGGTGCTGCACATCAGGCAGTGTATACGTAGTGCTGGATGATGTACAGTAGCCAAAACAACTATCTGTGCATACCTTGTGGGAAACAATATGAGACCATGAACGATAAATTTTGGTATATGAGGGCTGTCACTAGTCACACGTAAAATTTCGGAGCATATCGACCCCCTCCTGCACAAATAGTTGTTTTAGCTACTGTACAACTACCCGTTTGACTGCCTATATTTACAAGCTATAATAATAAAAAGGTGTCTGTGAGTTTGTCTGTCTTTCTGTGTTCAATCATAGCTCCAAAACGGTAGCAGTTAGAGACTTTAAACTTGGCACGAATATTACATGGGTCCCAAAGTTATGTCTCTTTGTATTACAGTATTTTTAACCACTGACCCATGGGTGGTCCAGGCAAGAACCAAAAATCTTCCACGACTGAGATATTGTCACAGCAATTGCAAGAGGTGTTACCTGTGTCAGGGAGGACAAGCTGTGGCAGTTCAGGTTATACGGTACCTATACTCGTATACCTAACCTGAGTGAAGCCAGATATGTTTATTTATTATTTTGTAAATTTATCATTTGTATTTTTGTTACTCGTTAAATTTTGCAAGTATTTTCAATAACACACACAAGCTATTATCACTAAACACGTTCTTAATTAAATTACTGCACTTGCCCAGGGCACAAAGATGTATGGCTACGGCTCTGACAGGTGCCACGGTGGCCAACACAAATGCTAGAGCGGATGGCAAAGGTTGACACAGCAGCGAGGTGACCACAAAGCTGAGGTGAATCTAGTTGCCTCAAGTAAAGATACAGGTCAATGGTTGACGCTTGTGACCTGTGACACCTCATGACCATACTCCTGGACCGTCTGGGCACCACGGAACTGTAGGACGATCACCAGGTAGGAGATGATGAACCCTGCAATCTGGGGAAGTAGTGGTATGAGGGATCCTTAGGAAACGCGGGGAGTGCTGTATCCATTCGGCAGTCACACTCCTTTGAAAAGTAAATAAATCGACAAAATATTCTGAATATAAATATACAAGACAGCGCTCTAGGCTTAAACACACACACACACACACACATGGAGACGAGGATCACCATGGTAAAAGACACGCCACGTCACCCACCGATGTGAAACAGGCACGACTGAGACAGAAGAAGCCGAGGATGCTGAAGTGTGGAGGGCGATCCAGTAGACCAAACACCAGACCTGCCTGTAGGAGGGAGAGTATGAGGCAGGGCGTATTGTTACGTGCAATGTATTTCATAAGATAACCTTAGAACCCTTAACAACCCATTGCTTCATCAGCTGTACTTAACTGTTCGGCCACTACCCTGGCGGACGTACTGTACCGTTTGTTTATTCTTCATATGTTTTGTCAGTACATCATCACATTGGATATTGTCTGAGTGAATATTTATAATAACTTCTATAATCTAAAATTAACAATGACATGTTGAGTACAATGTTAAGGCCAGGCTGCTCAAAACGCCCCGTAGAAGCAGTCAGCAGATGGTTTGAGATCCGGGCGAGTCACACACATAACCTTGAGTCGTCACTGGCTTAAGTCGTCAGTTCACTTGTGTCTTCGATCTGGTGATGTACTCATGGCAATCACTGTTGAGGCTGGCTGGCTGTTATGGTAGTTTATGTATTTGTGTTACTTGCATTTATAATTGTGTATTAATTTGTTTATCAGTGATGTTTGTGACCCTAGAGTAACTTTGTATGTTCAAGGTGATTATATTCCATTTCATTGTTAATTGTGGTAAGAGATGTAAACATAGTTATATATTTTACTTCAACTTTCTTTACTCCAATCATCATGTACTCACGTATAAAAGGGGCCACATTCAATCCGCATATTATACCGTAGTTGGAGCTCTTCCCAATACAAACATTAAGAACCATATACAGTAATTCACTTTAAATACATTCACTGTTTGTTTGTTACGAAATTTACCCCTTTGACACATAACAGTATGTACCGTAGGGGAGACTATGTAGGATGAACGCTTTTACCAGATAAGGATAACTTATATATTTATTGCTACAACTCAATGGAAATTGATTCGTAAATGGTAAAATTTGCTCAGTTTCATTTAAGACATCGTCTGCCACCATTTAACAGCCAATGGTAAGGTCAGGTTTGCTGTGAAACTAGCCATTGGTATGTACAGAATTATGACGATCTATAATTCAGTGGTTCCCAAACTGAGGGAGCGAAGTAAAAAAAAAGAAAAGAATGCTTGATTCTTGTTAAACATTAAAAAATTGATAAATTTAGCTACAACAACTAGACGGCTAGATATTTCTACGAACACTAACATCCTTTGCCTTGCAATACATCTACAATCAGTACACCATAACAAATAATATAAATATCAGTACATATACAAATTGTAAAACTTAGTTAAATGAAAAATAAGGGACATGAGGGTTTTGTGAAAACCAAAAGAAGGTCTTCATGCCAAAATTTTTGGTGACCATTTATCGCTCATGGCTAGCCAGAATTAAGACAAAAATATTGAAATTAATGCCATGAGATAATTATCCCCATGTAGCATAATATATATATATATATATATATATATATATATATATATATATATATATATATATATATATATATATATATATATATATATATATATATATTGCTCTAAGTAACTAAAAGGTAGAGATAGAACGTACCTGAAGGTCTCTGAAGTTGTTTACTTGCCCACGTAACCTGAGGGCTTGTCGCCGCCGCTGTAAATATAGAGAAAAAAAGATTAAGTAAATAGGGAAAAGTTAAATTACTGAATAACTCCTGAGAAAAGTTCATAAATACTTGTTGATCAATGATTATGCAAGCGTGCATGCATACAAATGTAACACACCATATTATATATATATATATATATATATATATATATATATATATTTCATTAGCCCAATAAAGCACGCGGATTCGAACCCACTGCCCACAAGCCTATGACTGACCGGGGAACGCTAACCGCTGGACCACCAGGATATATATATATATATATATATATATATATATATATATATATATATATATATATATATATATATTATATATATATATATATATATATATATATATATATATATATATATATATATATATATATATATATATATATATATATATATATATATATATATATATATATATATATATATATATATATATATTATATATATATATATATATATATATATATATATATATATATATATATATATAATATATATATATATATATATATATATATATATATATATATATATATATATATATATATGTATAAAGACGAAAGCTAAGGTGCTCCGCTGTTTCCCTTTTCCCGTGTGTTTTTATCAAGATATATGATAGCGCCACTTGCCTGGTTATTGAAGTTATCAGGCCCAGAGTTCAAGACGAGGAACAAGGTCGCCATGATGATCGCCGTCAGCAACAGCCTCCACTCCACCTGACCGCTGACCATGTACTCATCGATGACGAAGTAGAAGGAAAGAGTGATGCCGGTACTCATGATGATGAACACTGTCAGTAAGGTGGGGCCGTAGTAATGTAGCACACACTACTCCAGGGCTACCAGCTTTCTCTCCATCGTCTCAAACGTCCTGAGGCTGAGTAACGCTTCTTGTTTCATCCTTCCGTCACCACCTGATGTTCTGTGACTGATGGCGAGGTGTTGGTGACAGTTTCTTATTCTTTCGGGAACTTGGAGGTCATGGGATTCTATTGTTTCGGTGGAGAATTGTTTATCTTCTTTCATCCATACATCCGTAGTTGTGTCTCCTCTGTCCACAGATGAGCGGTTGGAAGCGTCCTGATGATCCACTTCACGATTGTATCCTGTGATTTTCTCCTGAGATTCTTGCAATTTTCTGATTATGATGATAAACAAACCTATTTTGACCATTAAGGAGAATCCGCCAATACCCCACACAATGGCGTAGGCAATAGTGTAACAAATATTATTTACGGTTACGTTTTGTGGGTTATCAGGCGTCCTGAAGAAACCAATAGACTCGAGTGTGTAGGTTGCCAGGACCACAGCACTGGCTACATAAACGCAGATGTCAAAACAGTTGGTCTTTTTTTCCAGCTGGTAACTTACTTCGAGATTGTCCAAGGCGTGGAGAAACTTTGCCAGACGTGGGCAGGTCACCACCAGGAGAACGCTGAAAGTGGTATATGCGACCATGTAACAATAGGACCAAAGTCTGTCTATCACGACACTGGTGTTATTCTCGAAGGCGACGTATACCTGAGGGAGGAGCAACAGCACGAAGGTAGTCACAAGAACAGCGAGTCTGAGACACAGCATCCATAACAGCCACCAACACCCAATTTTACACTTCCCATCTTCATTTTCCTTGGTATAAGGAAACCCTCCAAACACCTTGAGCATCAACAAACCTACCTGAAGACACTTTTAGCCACCTTCAGTCCTCGTCTAACAACTGGGGGATGACAGGGGTGTTTGGCTGTACTGTACATTCACTTCACGTCTCGGTCTACGCTTAATGTTCCTCTGGCGACAAGACCTTTCGTCCACGTCTGTTCCTCTGAAAACTCGGGCGTTGACGAAACTATCTACCGCTCTTCCTCCGTCTCAAGCGTCCTGTCCTCAACAAGCACCAATAAATAATTCCTAGTAATATATGCATGCAATTACGAGTTGTTTGTAAAGAGAAGGACGCATAACACAAAGTAACATTGGTAAACACAATTATGAAGTAAGTGGTATATATTGCCGTTATTTTAATCGATATATCCCAATTTCACCGGTAATATGTTAATAATGTAAACAGCTCAAGGCGTGGTATTTTCGTGGTGTAGATTAAAATAGTCTTTCTCTTTTCTATATTTAATTTCTTTTTACCTTTATTTTTTGCCCCCCCCCCGCCCCACCAGGCTCCGTTGTGGGTCGATGACCTGTGTTCGGGTGGGCTATTCCCCGTAAAAAAAATAAAAAATAAAAAAATAAGTTTGTTGTGTGGAAGAAGTAGAAGAAAGAAAACAATTTGACTCCCTCCTTATGGGGCAGACACAATAACAACAATCATTATAACGAGGATATGAATTCATAACAGCTGTAATAATTGTATTAACAAATAATAATAATAATAATAATAATAATAACGGAGGCACCTGTACCTGTATCCCTGTATGAATCTACCTACGTCACTGTACATTAGGGGGCAGGGAAAAACACTTTTATTTGAGTTGCAGGCTGCACTTTTCAGGCATCGTTTGTATGGCTGTAACAAACACCTGTGCAAAATTTCATGCCATTTCATGCATACTTACCCTGCCGCATCGCGAACGACTTTTTGTCAACTTTTAGTGTACAGTATACCAAAAATTAGGTGTCATTTAATGTTTTCCAGGATAATGATAAATTTTACATGGGTGACATCGATTTAATTCACATGTTATTTTACAGGTACACCGTATAGAAAATCATTACAAGTTCATATTGAAATTCTTTTTTGTGCGGAACCTTGGCATCATTTTCCTAGACAATAATCTTTGCCTAATATATCCATCTCTCGATTCGTATCCCGTCACTTCAGTGCAAGCTTCAGTCATCACTTTTATGCCTCTCTCGACCGCCTGAGTGCTGTTTGGCCACTTGGGCACCACTAATGGTGTCTCAAGAATGTCATTAACCTGTAGATTTGACAGAGAAGCAATGTAAGGAGGCTCAGTCTTGAGTTCATTCCTCCAGTTAATCATGGAATGATAGTTTTTTGCTTGCCACTTTAGTTTCGGAGTCACCACCTTTCTCATGTTGACTACAGGAGGCACATCCTCATTCCCATCTCCATCTTTACCCTCCTCATCAGTATAGTTTAACAAATTCTCGTCAACAGCAGCATCAGAATCTTCCTCCTCCTCTTCAGATCTGCCAGTGCATTCTTCCTTTTGCTGATTCTCCTCTCTAATTTTTCTTATCATTGAGACAGCTTTTTCTCTGACAGTCATGTCCTCATCTGCACACATACCAAGAAGAAGTTGATCTGTGTGGGCGAAGTATGCATTTCTCTGGACAGCCTTCTTCACTATCGTCTCCTCCTCACTATTCAGGTGTTTCATATATAGCAGGGACTGGAATACGTTCCTTGAACCGTGTGTTACGTAAGGGTGTATCTTGATGTAAAACCACATTGGAGCACTGAACTTTATTATTGTAATGACAATTCTTTTCAACTCATGGCTGGGTCTTGATGTTGCTACATACAGCCTGAGGATTCTACTCCATAAGGTGTTCCACCTTGACACACAGGGAGGACCTGGCTCAATAGCAGCCAAGTCATCTTCAACAACACCTGTGATAACTCCTTTACAAATCCTATACAGGTATTTCTGATCCCAGGACAGATCTTTCTCCACTTCATCATTAAACACAGGGAAATCAGGGAAACTGACTGGCTGGAAGGCGACAACTGGAAGCTCAGACAAAGACTCCTTGATCTGCTTTCCAATGGGACCACGCCAATGCTCAGGACCACTTGGTTTACCATCATAGTGATAAAAAACTGCGCGGAAAGGCAGCTCATTTCCGTGAAGCTGACATATGAAATAATGGAGCGGGTGACCAAGTAACATTTCAAGATGATGAATGACTCCATTTTCTGATCCTACATTTACATTGGTTCCATCATAACCAACACACACAATGGGCTGCTGGGTTAGATTTTTCTCCACCAGAAACTCGTGAATAGTTTTGGCAATCTGCTTTCCGTGTCCAGTCTTGGGAGTCACATGTGTGAGATATTCATTGTCAGGCTCAACCATGATGACATAATGATCTTTCACCATCATCCTCGAACTCCATTTCTCGGTCTTCTCATTCTTTATCATCACACGAGTGGCGGTCTTCCCTACATTACAGTACAGTAACACAACATTGAGAAATGAAATGAGAAAAGGCTGATAATCAATATAGACATAGCACCATACTCATCTGCAACAAGACAACTTAAATGAAATAAGAGATATGAAAAAAAAGTTGATAAACACTGAACAGAACATTGCACCGCCACAGCGGCTGTTTGGCTAGTACTGTAGGTAAATTTAAAAATTTCAGTAGAAAATGCGGCAGACTAAACCTCGACATATCAGCTTCAAATTTGGCATGGAGTCTTAGATATGTATAAGGAACAATGCCTGAAGAGTGCAGCTTTGAGCAAAATTTCACTGCCCCCTACTGTACATCATAGATACAAACATATATGCATACGTAAATTTATAGTACATACAAAATTTGCCCATTCAAGTGTCAGCTGAGGGTGGTGGATGAGGGCGGTGGGTGAAGTTCGTGGGTGGATGTGGTGGATAAAGAAACTGTTGAAGGTGATGAGAAAGTGGGTGGAGGTGAATATGGGAAGGTGGTGTGTGGTAGTGGTGTGTGGTAGTGGTCTGTGAAGTACAGTTGATATATGGTAGAGGGTGGGATGGAGGGGGAGAAAGAGAGAGAGGGAGGGGAGCTATTGTAAGATGTGGGTGGGTGGGTGGATGGTGCATCAGTCGTGTTTTTCATCCTACATAAGACGCTCCTCTTCTACATCTCCACCTGTGAGTAGTAGCTTAATTAACACACCTGTCTTAAGTGCCCAGCCATCTCTCCGTACACGTCACTTTAAAGATAAATCTACACTTATAACCATAACTATTTATCAATATGACTCAACAACAGTGACCATTTAATAAGTAAATCAGTTTCAAATCTATTTCTACACTTAGCGCTCCGATCCTTTTGTTAAACACTAATATGACTCCTTCATTGTTTCCAAAGTGCAGTGAAGAACTGAACAGTCAAAGGTATAATGTTAGGATGAAATATTGAACTCAAGATTATTCATTAGCATCGTACAGTAAGTAAGATGCAGTGAGTGTTTTATGTAAGCTGTGTTTACCTGCGTCTTAACTGTCTTATCTATGAGTGTGTAGATTTTATCGTTGTTGATAATTACCTGTAAACACGTCTGAGTACTCGCACTTCACTGTTAATTAAGTCTCGTAAAGACTCTGAGAGTTATAAAGTGTGAGGTGTACAGTACAGAACAAGAATTACAGACCTACTAGATCGGCGAAACCGCATTTATGAGGTATTTAATGACAAAAATTGCAGGTCTTATGAAAGTGTTCAAGAATGCAGGAGAGAAAGATAGCTGTACAGAGACACAGTCGGTGTTCATATATAAGTTTCAGGCGTAAATGTACGATTAATGACATAATTACCTTATTTTTCGTACATTATCTTTAGATACATAAAATGGAAAAGGACTTAATGTAACCATCACCGTCTGGACGTTACCTTCACCATCTGTATGTTACCTTCACCATCTGTACGTTAGTATCACCATCTGGACTTTACCATCACCATCTGTGCGTTACTATCACCATCTGTACGTTACTATCACCATCTGTACGTTACTAGCACCATCTGTACGTTACTAGCACCATCAGGACGTTACTATCATCACCTGGACGTTACCTTCACCATCTGTACGTTAGTATCACCATCTGGACTTTACCATCACCATCTGTACGTTACTATCACCATCTGTACGTTACTAGCACCATCTGTACGTTACTAGCACCATCAGGATGTTACTATCATCACCTGGACGTTACTTTCACCATCTATCTGTATGTTACTAGCACCATATGGACGTTACTAGCACCACTTGAACGTTACTAGCGCCATCTGGCTGTTACTAGTTCCCTCTGAACGTCACTAGCTCCATTTGACTGTAACTCCTCCCAATAAAGATTATAACATTCCTTTAATACTCTGGCAAATATCTCATTGGGACCTGGTGACTTATTAGGCTTTAGTATGTCTATTTGCTTACTAACATCGTTACTAGTGATTACTATCACGCTTTATTTATTTTCTTCACTATCTCTGTATAGAGTCGGTGCCTCGGGTATCAGTCGCTGCTCTTGAGATGATATTTGTTAAGAGGTTATCAAGTACTGTTTGTTTTTACTTCTTGTCTCCCCCATGACGCAACGTACAGTAGGTGATGTTTCAAATTATTGTAATTAAAGGTTTAAAGCATCATTATAAACCGTTAAACCATCACAATACTCAAAAAGGATAAGAGGGTGAGAGTCTTATTAACTACCTAAGAAGCACCAGTGACTATTTTACATAACCATACGACTGACCATCTTATCTTCATTGAACTGTTCGTAAGCGGTGAGCCTCCAGATTCACTTCATACTTAACACAACTGATTAATTCACAATGTCGACTTACTCCCTCTTTTATCAGTCCTATAAACGCCTCAACTACCTTCATTAATATCAGAGCGTGATCCTTGAAGAATGTGACTCTGTTAAGACAAAAAACATTAACTGCAGTTTTGTGACAACTGTAACAGCGTAGTTCTGGTGTTATCACCCAGGGTCATGCTAATGGTTCAAGGTTGGGCTGTTACTATTTACGGATCCTGTGTGTGTGTGTGTTATGCCTTAAATCCCTTACATACTCTTCTTACCTTATGTAACATAATTAAAAAGAATATCTTTATGGAGAAGTTCGATGAATTTCAGAATGAACACTGTTACTACTGTTGTCTCGGTAGGGTTGTCAAAATCCTTCGTCCGTTGTGTCATAGTATTTAACACAAAAGATGTCTTAGATAAAGACGAAAGCTAAGGTGCTCCATTGTTTCTCTTTTCCCTGAGTGATTTTATAAAGATTTATCTTATCCACGTTTTAATTGTGGATCTACATGATATACATACATATATATATATATATATATATATATATATATATATATATATATATATATATATATATATATATATATATATATATATATATATATATATATATATATATATATATATATATATATATATATATATATATATATATATATTACCGTATGTACACTTCAGTTATCATCTTGTTTCCTCAGACTTGATCACCATATCCCAGTAAGGAGAAGGATTACTTAACCAGCACCACAACACAACCACACCACCACAGTAACCACATCACAACCACACGAATACACTCACCAACAACCATCACCACTCCTTCACCACCAATAATCAGATCCTAAAAAAAACCTCCTTAAAACAGTTAAACTTCCTCGCCTGCCACCACCACCTCTTCCTCCTCCACCAATATGCACTTCGAGGACCTGCTGTCAGTCATCGGGTCCTTTGGGTTGTATCAGCGTCTATTGTGTTTCCTGCTGATACCACTCACCACAGGGATCGTTGCCTTCACCTTCTACACGCAGCTCTTCGTGTTGACGGCGCCTCTTCACACCTGCAACCAGAGACCTCATGAAGGAAGAGACCAAGAGTTATATAACCATCTTGTTCCTCTGCTCAATAAGACGCCCTTTGTAAGAACCAAGGTAGAAGGAGGAGAGAGAGAGACAGAGAGAGAGAGCCAGGAGGGGAAGGGAAGGGGGGGAGAAGTAAACACAAGTAGTTAAGATATACTAAGCGCTTCAGGTAGTGTGGTCAACAATGCACTAGAAACCCCTTCCAAAAATGTAATAAGAAACCCATATTCCTCTACAATGCTTAAACCAACACTCGTGTTAACAAGGTCGCCAAGTACCAGGTGTTAGAGGATAATGTTAACTCCTTTACATGGGCTCCCGTGTCTCCTGAGAACAAAGAAACAATATTAAGGGATAGACTATAGCCTCTTCAGGGCTCCTCTCTCCTCCTACAGACACCCATCCTGTTCAAATTAGTGAGGCTCTTGAATGGTTCTTCACCACTATTACATACCCGATCAAAAACTTATTTAAAGATTGCTTAAATTATTATTTTTATACTAGACTACTGTACAGGTGAGTTACACGGCCCCGTTACCTGTTCTTTAACCATAACTTAATCCAATTTATAATTTCCCCTCCACCTTTGCTGAGGTCGAGGTAAATAACATCATCGAACAAAGATTAAAAAACACTTGAAAAAATTATAACGTAAATATTCTCATACAATCAAACATATCTACATACTATCATACATACATACATACATTCATACATACATACATTTAGTCAGTACTAACATACATACAGGTACATACATACATACATACACACATACATAAATACATATGTACATACATTTAGTCAGTACTAACATTCATACATACATACATACATACATACTAACATACATACATACATACATACATACTAACATACATACATACATACATACTAACATACGTACATACATACATACATACATTCATACATACATACATACATACTAACATAAGAACATAAGAAAATAAGAAAATAAGGAGTCTGCAAAAGGCTGGTTGGCCTGTGCATGGCAGCTCCTGTCGAGAGTTACTACCACTCTCTATCATCCATGAATCTATCTAGCCTCCTTTGAAACTTTCCAGAGTTCCCGCACTTACTACAAAGTTGCTAAGCTTGTTCCACTCGTCCACCACCCTATTTGTGAACCAGTTTCTTCCTATCTCCCTCCTAAACCTAAACTTATCCAACTTGAATCCGTTGCTCCGAGTCCTATCCTGCTCGGATATTATAAGAACTTTATCTATATCCCCTTTATTGATTTCTTTCACCCACTTAAATACTTCTATCATATCTCCCCGCACTCTTCGTCTTTCTAGGGAATGCAAGTTAAGTTTCTTTAACCTATCCTGATATGGAAGGTTTCTAAGTCCCGGAATCATTTTTGTCATTCTTCGCTGCACCGACTCTAGTGAATTTATATCCATTCTAGAATAGGGGCACCAGAACTGAACCGCATAATCGAGGTGCGGCCTGACTAGCGCAAGATATAGTTGCAATAAGACCTCTGCACTCTTGTTACTTACACTTCTAGATATAAAACCCAATACTCTGTTTGCCATATTTCGAACATTAACGCACTGTTTTCTAGGCCGTAGGTCCGGGCTTACAAGTACCCCTAGGTCTCTTTCACAAGTCGACTTCTCTAGGTTGATGTTGTTAAGGCTGTATACATTATAAGTATTTGTTCTTCCAATATTAAGTACGCTGCACTTGCTGGTGTTGAATTTCATTTGCCATTTTTCAGACCACCCCTGCAGTTTATTTAGATCCTCCTGTAATGCATTTGCATCCTGCCCTGAATTAATTTGCCGCCCTATTTTGGTGTCATCCGGAAACTTGCTTATGTCACTGCTGATCCCAGTATCTAAATCGTTTATGTAGATTATGAACAAGAGTGGGCCTAGTACTGACCCCTGGGGAACCCCACTGGTTACACGGCCCCACTCAGATTTAACACCATCTACGCTGACCCTCTGCGTTCTATCGGTGAGCCATGATTTTATCCAATTTAAAACTTTCCCCTCGATACCATGAGTCTCAATTTTTCTCAGAAGCCTCTGATGCGGTACTCTGTCAAATGCTTTGCTAAAGTCTAAGTAAATAACATCGTAATTTTCGTCATTATCTACTACCTCGAAGACTTTCCTAAAAAACGTTAGCAAATTTGTTAGACAAGATTTTCCCTTTGTAAACCCATGTTGAGAGTCTTAGATTAATTTGCTTTTCTCTAGATGCGATCGGATGCTATCTGCTATAATTGATTCAAGAAATTTCCCCACTACTGACGTCAAACTGATCGGCCGGTAATTTGACGCTGATGCTCTGTCTCCCTTTTTGAATATGGGTACTACATTTGCCTGTTTCCACAACTCTGGCACAACTCCAGTGTCTAATGATTTTGTAAATAAGTTTACGAGGGGTCCGCTAATCTGTTCCCTACACTCTTTTAAGACTCGAGGGAAAATTTCATCCGGCCCTGGAGATTTTGTATTCCTTAGTCTATTTATCTTCTTAAGAACATCCTCTTTTCTGATAGTGATATTCTTTAATTTCTCTTCTTCCTTTCCCTTAAATATCAGTTCCACCTCCGGAATTTCATAGCAAATTTCTTCTGTGAAAACTGATAAGAAGTAGCTGTTCAATGCTTTGCTTATTTCTTCACTGCCATTTATCAATTCTCCCCTCCCTCCCTTTAAAGGCCCAACTTTGTCCTTGACCTTTGTCCTATATACATGGAAAAACCCCTTGGGATTCGCCTTGGATTCTCTTGCTATTTTGATTTCATAGTCTCTCTTTGCTTTCCTTACATTATTCTTAACATACATACATACATACATACATTTAGTCAGTACTTAACATACATACATACATACATACTAACATACATACATACATACATATATACATACATTTAGTCAGTACTAACATACATACATACTGCAGGACTCGGACTCCAGGAAGCCTTACGCTTGTCACCAGTTTGACCTTAATGTGACCCAGTCTTACTTGGCCGATCATGACGTCATGAACGTGACCTCGCTGGAGCAACTGCCCGAACCTATCGCAGCCTGTGTCGACGGTTGGAAGTATGAGTTCGATCTCATGTTCTCATCTTACACCTCAGAGGTCAGTAAAGCTCATTAAAGGTTTGTTAAAGTTAAAGTTGATCAATTACGTTTATGGTTTGACTAAAGATTTATGTTGAAAAGAAAGGTGGGCAAATAACGAGAGAGAATGAGAGAGAGAGAGAGAGAGAGAGAGAGAGAGAGAGAGCCAACACTGATGCTCTCACAACTCGTCAGCACAACTGGGTGTGTGAGGACGCCTGGCGACCCTACATAGTGGTAACGATGTTCTGGATTGGCAACACTGTCGGCTCTTGGCTCTGGGGCGTCGCTTCTGATATGTGAGTCTCTCTTCCAGGTTATGTCAGGTCAGTGTAAGTTAATTCATGTCAGTCCCAAATATATCAAGTCAGCACGAGTCATGTCGGGTCAACACAGGTTATGCCAGGACAGTAGAGGTCACCTAATATGAAAAAAAATCATGTCAGGTCAGCTCAAATCATGTCACTTGAGGTCAACACAAGCCACTCTAGATCATCACAGACCATACGAGAATAAAATAAAGACACACTAGGTGCTAGGACAACATAGCTCACCATAGGTAGGTAATGGGTCATCACAGGTAAAAGAGCCATAACCCCGACAGGTGTGGTAGGCGGCCTACGTTGGGACTGAGTTTGTTGGTGTATGGCGTAGCGGGCGTGGCCAGTGTATTCGTCAAGGACTTCTACGGTTTCACCGCCCTGAGGTTCCTGGTGGGCTCCTCTCACCACATAGTGTGTCACCTACCCTTCGTCTTAGGTGGGTAATTTCTCTCTCTCTTGTCTACCTTAATCCTTTCCATACTAATAAGAACAAAATTATTGAATATAATATATAGATAATTACAAAATGTTTGTGTGTGTGGGGGTTGCGTTCGTACATGGAATAATTCATGTTAAAATAATAAACTCTTCGACCCAGGTACTGTATTTCAAACTTAGGCAACAAGCTGACCAGGAACCTACGTCGTCTAGTTCCTCCTGCCGGCTGCCGGTAGTGAACACTGTTGAACTACATCATTCTCTAATAAATGCGTCCGTTCATTTCATTAGTTTTTGTTATATTAAATGACGTGGAATACTGGAATTATAGCAAAGAGTTAATCCACAGAGGCACATTCCCCACAGGTTGTTTTGAACAGTGAGCAGTTGTGTAATATAAAAAAAAAATTAAAAGGACGTAACCCACAGAATGTTAACACATCACACTCGTGCAGTGGCAGTTTGGCGTGAGATAACTTAAGAACATAAGAATGGAGGAAACTGCTGCGGGCCTATTGGCACAACCTTTCTCACAGTCGGATTTCTCTATAACAACATTGTTCATCTGATATCTGGTTTATCTGTTTACCTCTCCTAGACTATTACTTTACATTTGTCCAGATTAAATTTCATCTGCCATTTTTTAGATTATTCGAGAAATTTGTTTAGATCTTCCAGTAGTTTTGCGGAGATCTCGTCAGATTGAAATACACGCCCTATTTTAGTGTCGTCAGCAAATCAACTTATGTTGCTGTCTTCGCCGTTTATGTATATAATAAATAGTAATTGTCCAAGTTCTGAGCCTTTGGGTACTCCACTAGTGACTTTACGCCAATCGGATATATAGCCGTTAATGCTTACTCGCTGTTTCCTATCCTGTAACCATGCCTTAATCCATTTTAGAGTATCTCCTCCAATGCAATATGAGTCTCCACTTTTCGTATTAGTGTTTCGTGGGGGACTCTGTCGAAGGCTTTGCTAAAGTCGAGATATACCGCATCATAATCGTGCCCGCAGTACACTGATTCGAAAATAGATGAAAAGAATGTTAATATAGAGGAAATAATATCCTCGATTTAGTTCTCAGTAATAATGAAAATCTAGTAAAAGATGTTGGGATTGGAGACGAACTAGGAAACAGTGATCATAAAGCCATATATTTTAACATAATATGGGATGGCAGGAAGAAGGAAAATTCGGCCTTGATCCCGGATTTTAGGAAGGCTAATTACGGTAGCATAAGGAGAGACCTAAGGGATGACCCAATGGTCAAAAGATTAATCCCCCACACACCTTCGGAAACTGTCAACTTAGGACGGGATAACCCCGAATTTAATTTAGCAGCTACTTATGAACAATTTATTGCGACAATCAATAATGCCCAAAATAAACACATCCCTGAAAGAAAATTCAGATCGATACGGAACCAACCAAAATGGATGAATAATAGACTCTTAGATCTTCTAGGGAAAAAGAAAGGAGTATATAGAAAAGTTAAGAAAGGCGAAAATCACTTACTTGGTTACTATCAGAACCTAACAAGACAGGTAAAACAGAAATTAGGAAAGCAAAGAGAAATTATGAAATCAAGGTAGCAAACGAATCGAAAAATAACCCCAAAGCTTTTTATCAACTGTATAAATCAAAGGTTAGAGATACAATAGGTCCCCTTAAAACTACGACAGGAGAAATGACTGATGATGAGTTAGAAATGTGTAGTAAGTTAAATAGTCATTTTCGCTCCGTATTCACAAATGAAAACCTAGCACAGTTTCCAGAAGTTCATAAGGTATATAACGACAGTATAGAAAATATGTTGATGAATGTCAATATTACTAGTAACGATGTGCTTAAAGTAATTAACAAACTGAAGCCTCATAAATCGCCTGGTCCAGACGAGGTATATGCTAGAATATTAAAAGAATGTAGAGATGAGTTGAGTAATCCATTAGCAGTTTTATTTAATAAGTCATTAGAATCGGGCCTAGTGCCAGAAGCTTGGAAACTTGCAAATGTAGTTCCGATTTTCAAAAGGGTGATAAATCAATAGCATCAAATTACCGTCCCATTAGTCTCACGTCAATCATAGGCAAGTTGCTAGAGTCAATTATTGCTACAAAAATCAGAAGCCACCTTGAAACATTCAACTTAATTCATTCTTCTCAGCACGGGTTCACCCAGGGACGTTCTTGTCTCACAAATTTGCTTTGCTTTTTCTCAGAAGTATTTGAAGCGGTAGATAATGATAAATCATATGATATAATTTATTTAGATTTCAGTAAAGCATTCGATAGAGTCCCTCATGAGAGATTGATAAGGAAGGTAGAAGCACATGGAATAGGTGGATCAGTATTAAAATGGATTAGGTCATGGTTAACTGGTAGGAAACAAAGAGTCAGCATAAATGGATTAAAGTCAGACTGGGGTGCGGTCAAAAGCAGAGTTCCCCAGGGATCTGTATTAGGCCCTCTGCTGTTTGTTATATTCATTAATGATCTTGATTTAGGCATAACTAGTAGGATTAGTAAATTTGCAGATGATACCAAAATGGGGAGAGTGATAAATTCAGACAGTGACTTTGAACACCTTCAAAGAGATCTAGATACCTTACATGAGTGGTCAGTAGACTGGCAAATGAATTTTAATACTGATAAATGCAAGGTACTACAGATAGGGAAGACGAATACAAACGTTAAGTATAAACTAGGTAACACGGAAATAGAAAACTCAGTTTGTGAAAAAGATCTAGGTGTATTTGTTAGCAACGACTTGAAACCTAGAAAACAATGTATTAGCGTTCGCAACAAGGCAAACAGGATTCTTGGGTTCATATCTAGGTCTGTGAGTAACAGAACTGCTGACGTTATCTTGAAACTTTACCTAGCATTAGTGAGGCCACACATGGATTATGCGGTTCAGTTCTGGTGTCCTTATTATAGAATGGACATAGATTCTTTGGAGAGAGTACAAAGAAGAATGACAAAAATGATCCATAATATTAGAAACCTTCCATATGAAGAAAGACTGAAAAGCTTAGGCTTACATTCATTAGAGAGGCGTAGAGTTAGGGGAGATATGATAGAGGTGTACAAGTGGGTAAGTGGGATTCACAAGGGTAAAATGGAAGATGTTCTGAAGCTCAGTAATAACGAAATAACTAGAACAAATGGCTTTAAATTAGATAAATTCCGATTCAGAAAGGATATAGGCAAGCACTGGTTTGGTAATAGAGTTGTGGATATGTGGAATAGGCTACCGAGTGCTATAGTAGGATCGGGGACGCTAGGAAGCTTCAAGACGAAGTTGGATAGGCACATGGAAGTGCTGGGATGGGTGTGAAAGGGATCTGCCCTGTATGGGCCAGTCGGCCTCCTGCAGTATCCCACTTTCTTATGTTCTTATATGTAAAACATGAACGTGTACTTGTGAAGCCATACTGGGAATCATTGATCAATTTGTGCTTCTCCAGGTGATTTCGAATAGAGTTTGAAATTATTGCTTCCAGCAATTTGCCTACAATTGTCGTTAAACTGATTGGACGGTAATTAGAGGATAGTGATCTATCTCCCTTCTTAAAAATCGAAATACACTACTGTACATGCTGGAGCTTATATAAAATGTACACGTCACAATGTGTTTAGTGGGGGTATTATTCACAGTGGTGGAGTACTGTTGGATTATGTTACAGTGGTTTGTACTGGTGTATGTTACAGTGGTGGAGTACTGGTGTATGTTACAGTGGTGGAGTACTGTTGGATTATGTTACAGTGGTGGCGTACTGGTGTATGTTACAGTGGTGGAGTACTGGTGTATGTTACAGTGGTGGAGTACTGTTGGATTATGTTACAGTGGTGGCGTACTGGTGTATGTTACAGTGGTGGCATACTGGTGTATGTTACAGTGGTGGAGTACTGGTGTATGTTACAGTGGTGGAGTACTGGTGTACGTTACAGTGGTGGAGTACTGGTGTATGTTACAGTGGTGGAGTACTGGTGTATGTTACAGTGGTGGAATGCTGGTGTATGTTACAGTGGTGGAGTACTGGTGTATGTTACAGTGGTGGAGTACTGGTGTACGTTACAGTGGTGGAGTACTGGTGTATGTTACAGTGGTGAGTACTGGTTATGTTGCAGTGGTGGAGTGCTGGTGTATGTTGCAGTGGTGGAGTACTGGTGTATGTTGCAGTGTGGAGTACTGGTGTACGTTACAGTGGTGGAGTGGTGTATGTTACAGTGGTGGTGCTGTTGGATTATGTTACAGTGGTGGAGTACTGGTGTATGTTACAGTGGTGGAGTGCTGGTGTATGTTACAGTGGTGGAGTACTGTTGGATTATGTTACAGTGGTGGCGTACTGGTGTATGTACAGTGGTGGTACTGGTGTATGTTACAGTGGTGGAGTACTGGTGTATGTTACAGTGGTGGAGTACTGGTGTATGTTGCAGTGGTGGAGTACTGGTGTATGTGTGTATGTTGCTGGTGTATGTTGCATTGGAGTACTGGTGTATGTTGCAGTGGTGGAGTACTGGTGTATGTTGCAGTGTGGATGCTGGTGTACGTTACAGTGGTGGAGTACTGGTGTATGTTACAGTGGTGGAGTGCTGGTGTATGTTACAGTGGTGGAGTGCTGGTGTATGTTACAGTGGTCTAGTACTGGTGTAGTATATGTTACAGTGGTGGAGTATATGCTACAGTGGTGGAGTACTGGTGGAGTATATATAACAGTGGTGAAGTACTGGTGTAGTATATGTTACAGTGGTAGAGAGTACTGGTGTAGTATACAGTATGTTATAGTGGTGGAGTACTGGTGTAGTATAGGTTACAGTGGTGGAGTACTAGTGTAGTATATGTTATAGTGGTGGAGTACTGGTGTAGTATATGTTACAGTGGTGGAGTACTGGTGTAGTATATGCTACAGTCGTGGAGTACTGGTGGAGTATATGTTACAGTGGTGGAGGACTGGTGTAGTATATGTTACATTGGTGGAGTACTGGTGTATGTTACAGTGGTGAAGTACTGGTGTAGTATATGTTACAGTGGTGGAGTACTGGTGTATGTTACAGTGGTGGAGTACTGGTAGAGTATATGTAATAGTGGTGGAGTATTGGTGTAATATATGTTACAGTGTTGAAGTACTGGTGTAGTATATGTTACAGTGGTGGAGTACTGGTGTAGTATATGTTACAGCGGTGGAGTACTGGTGGAGTATATGTTACAGTGGTGGAGTACTGGTGGAGTATATGTTACAGTGGTGGAGTACTGGTGTAGTATATGTTACAGCGGTGGAGTACTGGTGGAGTATATGTTACAGTGGTGGAGTACTGGGTGTAGTATACGTTACAGCGGTGGAGTACTGGTGTAGTATATGTTACAGCGGTGGAGTACTGGTGGAGTATATGTTACAGTGGTGGAGTGCTGGTGTAGTATACGTTACAGCGGTGGAGTACTGGTGGAGTATATGTTACAGTGGTGGAGTACTGGTGGAGTATATGTTACAGTGGTGGAGTACTGGTGTAGTATACGTTACGGCGGTGGAGTACTGGTGTAGTATATGTTACAGCGGTGGAGTACTGGTGTAGTATATGTTACAGCGGTGGAGTACTGGTGTAGTATATGTTACAGCGGTGGAGTATTGGTGGAGTATATGTTACAGTGGTGGAGTACTGGTGTAGTATATGTTACAGCGGTGGAGTACTGGTGTAGTATATGTTACAGCGGTGGAGTACTGGTGGAGTATATGTTACAGTGGTGGAGTACTGTGGGCGAGAGAGTCGTGTGGTGCCGCTGCTGACCATCATGATGAGCTACACCATCGCCTCTATCCTAGCTGCAGCTCTCGCCTTGGTCGTCTGGGACTGGTACACCCTTGCTCTCATGAGTGGCATTCCTCCTCTAGTCCTCTTGCTGGCTTACAAGTAGGTGCTGCTTCTCTTGTTGCATTAATATTATTCATTCTCATATACTGACAACACCTTTGTGCCGGGAATCTGAATAAAAGCTGTCTTGGACCCGGGTGTGTGGGGACTAAACCTACTCTCTGAGTCACGCAGTGGTGTGCGGTGAACCTTCAGCTAGACAGTAGTTAAGGTGGAGTAGCTTTTAATCCCATCGTTGTCTAGCGTATAAGCTCCCCGATTACCAACTGTTCGACACCGGCACAAGAAGTGAAGTATTTTTTACATTAATTTACCTGTGTTTATATTACAGGTATAGAAACAATTTCAATTGCCAATATGGGGAGAGTTTTACGGTATTGTACATATTTTTTGTTACATCACATTTAGAATGCCTTGTAGTGCTCACAAGCTTGAAACTTATACCTGACTATACCAAAATTACAGGTGGATCCCAGAGTCTTCGTCCTGGCTGATAGCTGGAGGGAAGAGCGAGGCTGCTCGAGCCCAGCTTTCTACGGTGGCCAAGGTGAACAGTCACCGTCTGCCAGAGGAATTGTTCACGCAGTTCCTCACTGACACTAACAACGACCAGCACGACGATCAGACGGAGAGAAGAGACAAAGACAACGAAACGAGTCGGTCGATCATCGATGCCGTGAAGTATCCTAACCTCCGCAAGAACATCCTGCTGGTGCTGGTGGTATGGTAAGTACCTGAAGATGAATTTGTCGTCTGGTAAACTAGGCGATATGATCTTTAGTCTGAAAAATAATTAACAAGTCATTTATATACTCAAATATTTGAAGGGCACAGTGTGATGTCTCTCCTTGTTACCCACAACATTGAAGAAAAGCAAAGTTGACACGTAAAAATGCAGAGTGAATAATCTAGGGGTTGAAATACATGGATGCAGCAAGTAAGGAGAATACACACAAGAATCACTGTTTGTGACAGACAAATTTAAGTTCATGAAAGGGATAAGAAGATTATTATGTAAATCCAGTAATTTAATAACATTTATATTAAGTATTGATTAAGATAAGTTATTAGGTGTATTACATAGCACAAGTAAAACAATACATGCAATTATCAAAACAAAAGTAACAACTATGCATCTATCAAAACACACCAGAATATTCCCCGATTATTCTTAATTTAAACATTAATTTCACACACTATATTTAACAACACCAAAACCTGATAGAGATGGCAGCTCAGGTAGCAAGTCTAGGATTCGATGGCCAACCACAAGGAACCAGAGATTAACTCCGTAGACCACTACCATCAAACCAACCACACCACCACCAGCAGTAGTCCTTAATACAATTCGTCGTTCACACCCCGAGTGAAGTGGAACACCGTAGGCCGCAGAGAAAAGACCGAGCCAGTGAGCTACTGAGATTACCAGGAAGACACCCTTGCCTCGATACCTCGGTCTCATAGTCAGACGGGAAACTGGTCTCATAGTTGGATGGGAAACTGGTCTCATAGTCGGATGGGAAACTGGTTCTGAATCGGTGCTCATTGGGGTCGAGTAGCTTCGTGAAACAGTTTCTTCTCGTGGTATCAAGTTGGAGCAGGTGATGGTTATGGTGGTAATTTTTTTATGACGGTAAACGTCTCTTAAGAGTATACTGTATTCACCTACAAAACTCATTGTTCGAAAAATATATATTATGTAGCAGTCTCCAGGACACAAGAGAAAACCAGATATGAGTTAAAACTTCATGAGATCAGATATAAATCAGAAAACAAATAATTTAGATCAACGTTTATTATGGCTGAGTTTGACCATTCCTGTTGGGGCAAGACAATACGGAAACGCGCGTAGTGCCACATTAGCTGTAAGGCAGCGCCTAGCTTGTGTTAATTATCATAGCACCTCACATTCTCTGCTTCCAAATGGGCACTAGTCCATCACTATAGCTTGGGGCCATCAGTACCCCATCAGGGCCATTCTCCAATCCTAAATCCTTAGTTAGGTTAGGTTAGGGCCTATCAAGATCATGAAGGGACCATTTTTTCAATCGCCTCCTCACCCTTGCTGCCACAGGATGCTGGCCTGTATGTGTTTCTACGGCCACTGTCAGAACACGGTGAATCTGGGAAGCAACATGTTCATGAGCTACCTGTTGGGGGCGGTGGTGGAGGTGCCGTCGTGGTGCGTTCCCTGGCTCATCCACCGCCTGGGACGACGTCTTCCCCTTACCGCCGCCTTCTTCCTCTCCAGCACCGCTGGCTTCATCTACGCTGCCGTGCCGGAAGGTGTGTGGTGGTGATGAGAGAACCCTGTAGATGAGTTCACGATCTCTGCAGTGGTTTGTCATCTCCGTGTGGCGGTGGTGTGGTTCTAAAGGTGTGTGTCTGATATCTACAAGTGAGCGGTACTTACCGGTGTGTGAGTTTGTGATGATACCAACAGGTGAGTGATGGTGGTGTGGAGGACTTTCAGCTGTGTGGTGCCTACAATGTGCTCTTCCAATAGATATGGAGTGGCTGGTGCTGACGGTGGCACTGGTGGGGCGGGCGACCATCACAGGAGCCTACTACATCACTCTGCAGTATTGCCCGGAGGTGTTTCCCACGGTGGTGCGGGGTCAGGGCGTTGCCTTGGCCGAGACTTTGGGCGGAGTCGCTATCTTCCTCTCTCCCTCCATCGTTTATCTGGTATTGTGTCAAGGATAAACACTGAATGAATTCTCTAACAGATACCTGTACTATTTACTAGGTTACTCACCTGTTTTTTTAAGTTCTTCCATTTTTTTCAGTATCTTTATAATTTACGACCACCAAACAAACTTTAGATTTTGAAAAGTTACATAAATTTAGGAAATAATTATTTGATGTTTACCCACAGCTTATGAGGAGTGCGTGAGTGTTCTGCTTGGTGACGTCATATTCCAACCATAGTAAAGTTGCTTCAGCTTCGGTATTCGTTTGATAGTCGTTTTCCAGAGGTCGAATATTTTTAACGAAATTGTCTAAATTTCAAACCATTTACATTCCTTTCGAAAGCAGGTGTGGAAATTTTTCACAAGTATTTCTTTTTCCTGTCAATGATTTTAATATTTGTAAAGAGAAATAGACATCATTCCACAATAAATGTCTAACAGAACCTGGGATAGGTTTCTTTAGACGTCTATAGCGCTTCAATTATAAGAATTTATCAACGTAAAACTGACTAAATTCCCAAGGGGACGAGTTGTAGTATGTTTTACAGGAACTTCCTTATTTAACAAACCTACAAAAAAAAAAATATTTTAAGATATCACCATAAGACACATGGTATATGCAGTATAATCTTTCATAAGCCCTATAAAATAAGTGCAGTGCGAAGAGAGCTGCTTGTGTATATTTCGACAACTTTCTGTTTGTCTGTGAAACACGTCAGTTATTTTAGCCGTCCAAGAAATTATTGATTGGTTAAGGTTCCTCGTGGGTGTGGGTGCTATGAAAGCCTTAACAAACCCCCGAACACTGAATATATTTTTTGATAATCAAGAACACTTTGTAGAGATTCGACAATTCACAATTTCATAATCTAACCTAACCTAACCTTGCATGGAAGTGCATTATTTTAGGTTAAATTTCGTCAAGGTGTCATTTTATCCTACCTCATTGTCAAAAAAAGGAAGAGCACGATCATATTTACTCTTAATGAAACTAGAGAAAAACATAATTAGGAAACTTCCAAACTTGCAATTCATCCACTTTTTTGTGTGGGGGTGGGGGGGGGGGGATGTTTGGGGGGTAATCCAACGATAAGAAAAAAAAATTCTATATACAATTTTCTTGAAGTTGTTGCTTTTGAAGAGATAGTTCTCTAAATTATTACCCATGGAGAGAACTGTATCTGTACTATACTGTACTGTGTTACAGGGAGAGTGGCACAAGAGGGCACCGTTGCTAGTGTTCGGCGGTTTGTCACTGGTAGCTGGGGTGTCCACGCTCCTGCTGCCAGAGACTGCAGGTGTAGCACTGCCCCAGACTATCCCCCAGGCCGAACTCTTCTTCAGCCACTCCCGTACTTCCTCCCGCAGGTTAGTCTTCTCTCTTGATCATTCCCCACCTGTTATTGCACGTTAGAAATATATTGCTTTATTTTAATATTATTAAAGAATAAACATATAAATTCAGCATCAATTTAAATTAAGTAGAAAAAACAGTTCAAGCAAACTTTTTACTTTGTCGAGTAATTGAAGATAAATAATATTCATCACCTGTTAAAGACTCTGTGGAGTAAACACCGAATGATTTACTTATTTATCAAATATTATTAACTTAAATCAAAATTATACCTGACTTCTTTACGTTATGCATTATATATTAGTTTAATTACTCGTGTTTGTTATTACATTTGTTGAGGTTAAGTAATTAAACATAAAGCCGATATCCATACGTCAATTTTACCACCAATTTTTGTGTTACAGCTAAAGAAAGTAAACTAAATGAGTTCTCCTCACAGTGAATAACGTAGAAATAAATTACAAATAAGTAAAATTAATACCTAGGTCGGTGACGCCGCAGTGTGACCACAGTCTTTGCTTTAGATCCAAAATTCCCTTGGGTGTCGACGTAGACAAGATGGAAGCTGCACAAGACGCCCAACTTGTTCTGAGAGACCGAAGCCGACCGTCTGAACCTGATTCGTAAGATGTGAACCTGACTTGAAAATTATTTTCACACAACACAAAGTACAGCCTTCCAAGGGTGACCGTCCGCTGTTTTTCATTGAAAATGGGTTTAACAATACTAAGTTTTCACTGATTTTATTAGGGAATATTGTAGTATGTTGGGAAAAATATAAAAATGGCGGAAATCATGTGCTAACCTAACCTAGTCTATATTTTAACTCGTCTATATCTAGAAATTCATAGAAGTGAAAGTAATCAGCATACAAAACTGTGTCTAAACACACCCATCATAATTACCGAACTGCTGACGGTCACAAGTCTTATATTAGCGCCTTCCTCGTATACTGGCCATCAAAATAAATGTATTCTTTCTTTTCACTTTATTTGTCTTTGGATGTTAAACTAACAATTCATAAGAAATATATATTTTTTAAATATGGTGTGAGTGTATTATGTATTTTATGAGCAAGTAAATAATAAAAAGGAATTGATATTTTTCCTCTCTTTCTGCCATCTTTTATTAATATTTATGGAGAAACTGTATTCACTTAATACGATCTCACTAAAGGGTGAAGACAACGGGCAAAGATCCGCATTTCTCGGGAGAAAACGAAGATCCCGCCGTTCTTGGTCAGATTTGATTACAGCTGGAGTCCAATTGACGTTTTATAATATTTATAATTGAAAGGCATTAGTTTTATTGAAACATAGTACTGGGAAGCAATTCTAAGTTATTTTAATTTACATACAAATTAATATTGCAGATAATATTTCAATTGACTTTTGTTTACATCCAGTGAGTGTGGCCAGCGTGGATTCTCAAGCCTTACGAATTATTATTGGGACAGGGAACTCTGAAACTTCCCCTGTTGATAAAGTGATGGAGTGCAGAGTGTTGTGGGACTTCAGACGTCCATCGAATCTCAATAAAAAACTTAAAATGACAGCACTTTTGGACGACCCGCCATCTTTGCTATGCGAGTTTTGTTCCGAGCGACAGGGATACGCGAAAGGTGTTACGACTGAGCACGTGATCGGAAAGTCATTTTTTTTTACCAAGATAAATAAGAATATAAAACGGCGGAAATAGCCAAATGAATCACTGAGGCACTGGGCTGAAATACTGAATCAGTAAGTTGAAACATCAAATTGCTGGTCTTGAAGGTTGAGTCCTTACATCGAAACACTAAGTTACTTTATTGAATCACCGAATTCCAATATTTCAAACAAGAGTCCAGTAAATTCTATGCCACTCCTTATATAAACTTTAAAAATAGACCCTTAACCGTCTCTCATATAGATATAGGATACTCTATAGTTAGGGTACTCCAAAGTTATGGTACTCTATAGTTACGGTACTCTATAGTTATGGTACTCTATATTTACGGTAATCTATAGTTACGGTACTCTATAGTTACGGTAATCTATAGTTATGGTACTCTGTAGTTATTGTACTCTGTAGTTAGGGTACTCTATAGTTAGGGTACTCTATAGTTATGGTACTCTGTAGGTAGGGTACTCTATAGTTATAGTACTCTATAGTTAGGGTACTCTATAGTTAGGGTACTCTATAGTTAGGGTACTCTATACTTAGGGTACCTCTAAATATGGTACTCTATAGTTATGGTCATCTAAAGTTATGGTACTCTGAAGTTATTGTACTCTATAGTTAGGGTACTCTATAGTTTGGGTACTCTATAGTTAAGGTACTCTATTGTTATGGTACTCTGTAGGTAGGGTACTCTATAGTTATAGTACTCTATAGTTAGGGTACTCTATAGTTAGGGTACTCTATAGTTAGGGTACTCTATACTTAGGGTACCTCTAAATATGGTACTCTATAGTTATGGTCATCTAAAGTTATGGTACTCTGTAGTTATTGTACTCTATAGTTAGGGTACTCTATAGTTTGGGTACTCTATAGTTAGGGTACTCTATTGTTATGGTACTCTATAGTTATGGTACTCTGTAGTTATGGTACTCTATAGTTAGGGTACTCTATAGTTAGGGTACTCTATATTTAGGGTACTCTATAGTTATAGTACTCTATAGTTATAGTACTCTATAGTTATGGTACTCTATAGTTAGGGTACTCTATAGTTATAGTACTCGATAGTTATAGTATTCAATAGTTATAGTACTCTATAGTTAGGGTACTCTATAGTTATAGTACTCGATAGTTATAGTATTCAATAGTTATAGTACTCTATAGTTAGGGTACTCTATGGTCAGTATGATACATCATTATGCAGTGTTCCCTTTATTTTATTTATTTTTATCAGCAACATTGAGTCATCATTCAATTTTGTCTTTAATTATCAGGAAACTGTGCAGGAATATTCCGTTGTACAGTATGCCATTACCTGACATTTATACCTCTCCGTAAAGTTTGGACAGCGACTATTATCATCATCTGTGCTGTTCGTCTGTTGTGCTCTGTTTATTCACCCCAAACCAGGCAGTATAACTAACCATACAATATTGGGGAGATTATCTGGAGTTTGGGCAGACCATCATCATTAATACTTGAGAAGGCTTTTGTGTCTCCAAGTATAACTGTTGTTGGGCAATGTTTATATTTAGATCTACTTTTTCGGGCCAGGCAAAGATTAATTGCTGGAAAAAGGCATCATCACTATTTGATGTTCAATTCAACATTTAGCCCTTAAGCGAGGTTAACTGGTGACACAGAACACCTTCAACAGAGTTTATTATGAGTTAATTTCACGGGTTAAGGGTTGACGGAACTTGGCTGTAGACGATATCTGTATGTCAGTGTGAGTGTATTAAACAAGTCAATAACACTGGGGAACACACTTTCGGTTGCATGAGTTCTGACACTTGATTCTGGTAGATTTGAGATCACAGATTCTGAAAATGGCATTCGTTTGTGCAGATCAGGTCTAGTTTTGATGCTACGCGGCAATTTACATATCAGGTCACAGATTCTGAAAATAGCAAAGGGAGGTAATAAGCACTCAACTTGCTTCCGTTGAATCTGACAGTGAATATGATACTGAGGTCACAGAGGAGTCAACTAACAGAAATAGTGACTCAGATTTTGCAGGCATATCAACAGAACCGCAAACATTTAGCCAAGCAGAACTCATTGACTTAGTTCGAGATCTGGGTCTGTCTAAAAAGCTGTCAGAATTGCTGGCTTCACGGTTAAAAGATAAAAACTTGTTGAAAATAGACACAAAGGTAACATTGTTTCGCAACAGAGAAAAGAACCTCTTACAGTTCTTTGATTCTAAATTTGACTTCGTCTACTGTTGTGATATTTCTGGATTAGTCACCGCGATGGGAGCTCCAGGTTATGATCCGAAAGAGTGGCGCCTCTTTATAGATAGCTCTAAGCGGAGTCTGAAGTGTGTTTTATTACATATTGGCAACATCTTTGGTGCAATACCCATAGGACACTCAGTACACCTGAAAGAAAAATATGAACACATCAAAACGGTTTTGGAGCTACTCAAATATGAAGAACACAAATGGATCATCTGTGTTGATCTAAAAATGGTCAATTTTTTGCTAGGACAGCAAGGTGGGTATACAAAATTTCTTTGCTTTATCTGCCTCTGGGACAGCAGAGCCAAAGACAGACACTGGATTCAGAAGGAATGGCCAGTTAGGGAAAGCCTCAATGTTGGGGAAAAGAACATCATTTATGAACCCCTAGTGGAACGTGAAAAAATTGTTTTCCCGCCCCTTCACATCAAGCTGGGCCTTATGAAACTCAAAGCAGGTATTTTCGACGACCCTCAAATTAGGACGCTGATTAAAGACCAAGCCTTCACTCATTCCATGACTGATGTTGAGAGAAATGCATGGGGAGCATTCGTTTCTGTTGTAAGGAACTTTCTTGGAAACGGTAAATCAGAGCACTATAAAAAGCTCGTTGAATCTTTGATGGAAAGTTTCCATGTGTTAGGTTGCAACATGAGCATTGAGATGCATTTCCTGAACAGTCATCTTGAACTGTTTCCGGCAAACTTGGGGGACGTGAGTGATGAGCAAGGTGAACGCTTTCACCAGGATATCAAAGTCATGGAAGACAGGTATCAAGGTCACTGGGATATTCACATGATGGCGGACTATTGCTGGAGCATTCAGCGAGACTGCACTGAGAGGCGATACTCAAGACAGTCCCTTAAACGCAAGTTTGTGCCTGAATAAATCTGGCATAGTTCACAAAAGCAACTGATGAATCCAAAATATGCTTGTCAAGGTAAATTAAAGTAATTAAAAATTAATTCTACGTGTTTGGTAATTCCTCTCTGTGTGCTGGTTTAGATTTTTAGCAGTAGTATATGGTAGTCTAACTATATATAGTAGTAAATGGTAGGTAACTCACCGCAACAAAACTAGACCCGATAGAAAAAAACCGGTGCCATATTTGAAATTAGTGACCTCAATTTACCCAGAAACAGGTTTCAAAATGTATGCAACTGACAAAAAGTTGAATTTTGTTCCCCAGTGTAATCTATCACTGCAAAATGGATAAATTTTCTCATATTAAAGACTAACCCTGAATATGAAATAATTCAGGGCTTTAAAAGTTGACAATACATTTGTTGTGGACCAGAATCATAATACAGTATATACATCTCGGTTACACACACACACACACACACACACACACACACAGGTTTGTTAATGGCACCTTGGAGATGCACTCTTTCCACCACCTTCCTTATTTAACCATCCATATTATATGAGCCCACTATTATTTTTCTGTATATCACTACTTAATATTTTACCTGGTGGTTAAATTTTGTATCTATTACAGCCAAGAAAGTTAACGTTACCCACTAAACTCTTTATTAGCACCAAAAGAAAATACATTACATTGACGAGTGACGCACACGAGGGCGAAGTCTGACAGACTGTCTGAACCTGTGTGCCAGGTATCAACCAACATTTTTCTGTAGATTGAAGG